TTGGCTTAGTACTGTATTTTATTACAAATGCTGCTGTAGTAATTTAGTAATTACTAAAAAAAAAAGTTTTATTGTATTACTGGACATTCCAGGCCTTTCTGGGCAACACATTACTGAAAAACATAACCAAGTAAGTGGTCTAGTTTACTCTCACATACAGAGTACTAGCTCTGACCCTAAGCTTTTGTTGCATTTTCTTCATTCCCCAAGTAGCGCTGGTGTTGGAGATTACATAGTGCTACTAATTAGATAGTGTTAAGTTAGCATATTCATGATTCAGTATTCAAGACTGCTAATATCTGTCTTATTTTTAAGTTTTATGCTTTAAATTATTTAAAGGAAAATTTTGATCTTTTCTTTCAAAGGCTTAAAGTCCACTGAGGTAAGTACAAGGCACTCCTATACTTTAAGATGCTCAGATAATGAGCAACTTCATAAAAATGGAAATAAGTTCAGATAAAATGAACGTTTCAAGTGCAGGAAATAGGTTTATACTACAAGAGTAAATAGAAAAGGAGTCCCTCGAGAGCTGGTGCAGAAAGGTGCCAGAGGGCAGATATGATACGGGTTGAATTATGAGGATGATAAAGATGGGTATGAAGAGGGCAGATTATATGTGAATGTCAGATCATTCATGGTTAAGTGATTTATTTTTTAAAGCTTGTGGATTTTTTCTTTTTAGAAACAAATGCTACTTAGCAGGGGTGTTTTTTATGAAGTATGATAATCATATTATTCTAGAGGGTGAAATGGAGTTTAAGAATGTGATTATTTTAATTTCCCCCCACCCCCCGGGCTAGCATGTCAAGCCCTGACACATTTGTCTATTCCAAAACTGTCCTATTGGGACTGTCAATAGCAGTGGTGAACTGAGATTCTGGTAGGTTTCTTTCTGTTCTCTTACAGCTTGGTTCATGTGTGATGTTTTAGGTTTTGGGGTTTTTCCTTAGTTAAGGTGACATCTCTGAAGCATAAGGAGAGGTGAAGGCACTCTACCTCAGTACAGGTGTTTTGTGTAGCATCTGCTTCCATATTACCAGGCACCACAGCAGTTAAAGATGTGTCACTTCAAACAGAAGAAAAATTCTGCGGCAGAGTAGTTCCTACTTAAAGGAAATTGGCTGGCATACTTTCTTGGAGCAAGATGAAATGCTGTGCTGTGTAGGGTATAGTATCAGTGCATCACAATCTGCAACAGAAAGAGAAGGTGACAAGGAAGCTGAAAACTTAGAGTGAGGGTGGATTTGTTGTTTTTTAAAAAAAAAACAAAACAAACCCAAAACCCCCACCTCTGTGGAGTGTTTGCTATATTTCCAGAGACATTTGTGCTGTCAGTCTGTTTCAGAGCTTAATTGCAGAAAAAGAAATAGGTACAACTGAGAAGTAGCTAGCACATGTTGGAATGAATCCTTCTTTTAGAAGTGTTTCATTATCCAGGATGGTATCTCTTTACAATTTCTTCTGTACTGTAGAATGAGAGCATCTTAATTCCTCACCAATTATATATTAAATTCTTGCATTAAGAAGACATTCTTGATATCTTTTTTCATTATCATCAACAAAATAGTACTTTATCTTACAACTGACGTTGAGAATTCACCCTTTTGGAATGTGTTAAATCCATGTAACAGTGCAAGCAATGCAGGAAACCTGGAGACTGAAGTTTCAGATGGAAGGACACTAAAACATGAGGGACAGCATATTTTTACATCTTCTAATAGTCTGGTACAACTGCAAAAACACTATCTACTGAAGCTGTTGAGCTGCAATGAATTGTGAATGTTAGCTGTATGGAGAAGTTGGTTTTCTGTGAGTCTGTGGATGAAACATGTTCCCAAGCAGTCAAAGGCGGGGCAATTATTAGGAGCTTGCCTGGGATGTTTCTCTCCTTCCTTGAGGAGGTCTTTCATGTAATGTTCATGCTCATCACTATTTTAAGTTTAAAGTTGAAGCTTTTATTTACTTTCTACCTGAGAATACTAAAATAATGAACTTAGTCTTTTTCTTCTTTCTCTTTTCTTATCCTCGTCTCTTCCCCACCCAATTAATTAATTGTGGATATAATAAATGTCTTCTGAGCAGTCACCTAGATGCCGTTATAGTTTAATGTTTTTGAGGCTTTTCTTGGTTACTACCCTTCGCATTCCCATTGATAGCAAATGCATTTTTAGCTCTTTACCATGTCTAGAGAATGAGGTTTTAACATTTAGACTAGCTTGTAACTGGAACACCCCAGTTTGTGGATGCTTCAGTAAATGCGGGTTCAGACAGTTCACCTTTGTATATGTCAGTGGATGTAACTTCTGAGAATTTTAGGGTGGTGTTAGAAACTGGACTCAGTTAAAATGTACTCAATGGCACCAAACACAAATATTCCAACACTGGTTTAAAAAACTGGAGTTAACTATGAGGAAGACTGGTAAGGAGTCCTGTTAATGTTGAATCGCTAAGTAATTAGCACAAGATTCGAAAATGGTATCAAAAATGCTCAGAGGTTGCAGAAATAAACATAATCTCTGCAGTTATTGGTGCTTCTCTTCTAGGAAACAGCAGAGGAAATAGTCAGCTAGGCAGACAAAACTATACATTATGATTTAAAGCATATTTAAGGAGCTCTTCAATCTTGTTTAAGTAAATAAGTATTTTGGGAGGATTAAAATAGATTTTTCCTTTTCTTAGACTGAATACACTCTAAAGATGTGAGGGCAGTGTGATAACTAGAAACTTGAGTTTTTAAAATGAAAAATTAGTAAATCCTTTGGCAGTTTAGCTTACAGCAAGGAATATGGGATGTTGGGGCTTTATGAATGAATGCATGCTCTCTATAGCAACACTTTCCTTGAGTTGTTACAGAATCTTTTTGCCCTTTGTGCAGAGCTCAAAAAGACAGGGCTGGCTTACATAGCTTTTGCTTTGATTTTTTTTTGCTAGAGTGTATACTAGGGGTAACTGTCTTGTTCTTTCTGGCCATTCTTATGCGAATTGGGAGATGGCTTCTCCGTATTGTTACCTTAGTCTTTTCATGACTAATTAAAAATAAAACAGGCAGAGTTTAAAGTACTCCTCTTAGGGGAAAAAAAAAAGGTGCATTCCTTCTTCTGATCCTCTGTTGGGACTAGAGGGGGTTAAAAGGGATAGGAGAGAAGAAGTAACTCTTAAATTGCTTTAGTGGACTGTACAGAGCAGATGCAATACTGTTCCTTTCCAGTTTTACCTACATCTTCCCCAGTGTGTAATGTAAGAAAGATTGACTCTCTGTCAAGACAAAATAGAAAGACAGATTTAAAATGCATTACGTCAGCAACTGCACAATTCAGTTTTGCATACTATCCATCTCTTGTACCTAGAGCTACAGCTGCTTCAAGTATTATGTATGCAGGTAGTGATCACTAAAAATTCATACTGTTTCTGGAGGGAAGTGTTTAAACTCGCGTACCTAGCTCATTTTATATTTTAAAAAGTAGTGAACTTTCTTATGTTGCCTTATATGCACCAATTATTTTCTCTAACAGGATTTTGGTTGTGCATAATCATAAACTAAAAGTGAAAACTAAAGCTTTAAACCTCAAAAAACCCCTCAAAAACTCTTCATAAATGTAAAATAGCTATCATAAAATGAGTTTTTAAAACAAAGACATTGCATATTAACCATGATGTATTTTTTCTTTTTAACAGGTGAACCAAGGGTGATATTTCCAGAACATATTTGCTTTATCTTCCAGATAGAAGATAAATGTGTTAAGCTGGCCAAGTAATTCTGGTAAGAATTTTCCTATTACTTCTACAGTGAATGTTATGATATGTATAAATATTCAGTCGTGCCACTAAAAGGAGCTTTCTGTACCATTAGTGCTAACAAACTTTCTCTTTCTTACAAGGTCTTATTTTTTACCTAATAAATGCTTGTTTTTGTTTTGCCTTTCTCAGTGATCCTCTTGAGTTTTCTACAGCTGAGTCTTACATTCTTGTCTTGTTTGATTTAATATTTGTTTTAAATGTCTCAACATGTACTAGTGCTAACCAACCAAAGAATGCTGTGGCATAAGAGAAAACAAGGAAAGTGTCTTTATAAGACAGTGAATACACAAAGTGTACGAGTGCCTTGTGTGCATTATCTAAAGTAAAATTAATCAGTTTGGGCATCAGTACCAATGCTTTTTGGTATTTTCTCCTGAACATATGCAGTAGAACTGTGTCTTGAATGATGTACACTACTATAGTGACTGCCACCCACAGAGTCTTGCTTGAAGGAAAACGCTGGGAGAGCTGGTAAATCCAAAGCATTGTATTTCTGAAACTCCCATATTTATCTTAACTCACTAATTTTTTCCTCTTGAAACAATCTGCATACTGTTGGAATATATAACATGGTAGAAGATAATGTGTTAAAACTATTAAAGAACATGTTTCCTGTACAATGGTGTGTAAGAGCTGCTTGTTTTCCCTTTGTGCTTCAGGTCAAATACCTTTTAGAAGCAGACAAAGGTTGAAGCTCACATCTAGGTTACAAAGCAAAGCTGAAACGAAATTATTAACTTTCATTTATGCAGTGGGACAGGAATGCTGTGGGTCATGGGCTTTTATGTGATAAATTTATAAATTTTAAATAAATGAGGTTGTGGGCTACTAGGTAAAGTTTCACTACAATAACTGAAATTCTCTAAGCTCATCTTTGCCATGTCCTTCCACGCTACATTGGTATATTGATCCTTTGGTTCTACAGACGCTCCATTCTTTGCGGGGATGGGATATGGGGAAGAAATGCTCTTCTCTGGAGTGTTATCCCTGGAAACATTCCAGGTCAGGTTGGATGGGGCTCTGAGCAACCTGATCAAGTTGAAGATGCCCCTGCTCACTGCAGGGGGGTTGGACTACATGACCTTTCAAGGTCCCTTCCAACCCAATCTATTCTATGATTCTCTCTTCACCAGTCTTCTCCAAAAGGAATGTATTTTCTGATGGATTTAATTTCTGTACTTTCCTCTACTTACAGCTCAGACATGAGCAGTGCCAGTAACTCACTGGCACGGGAATTCTTGACAGATGTCAACAGACTGTGCAATGCAGTGGTACAGAGGGCAGAGGCCAAGGAAGATGAAGAAGAAGAAAGTCATATGGCAGCACTGGGACAATACTTAGTTCAAGGCCGTGGGTTTATTTTGCTTACCACACTGAACTCAACTATTGATCAGGTAATAGTTTTTCTTACCTGGTTATAATTGTATTGAGCTTTGACTGTGTGGGTTTGTCTGGCTCATGTTCTTCCTGGTGCTGGTTTTCTTGCCTTTTTATGGTAGTGTGTATGAGTTAATTGTGAAGACGAGACATTCAAAAGAATATGTTGCAGTTGCATTCTGTCCTTTGGCAAGAACAGAAAAAGGGAAAAAAAAGCTAATCATATACCTGTTTGCCAGCTGATATTGATGGTTGCTAAACTTTTGACTAGTTAAGGCACATGTGAAGCTCAAGTGCAGTAGCTGGGTGAAAAGAGGCAATAGGTTAGAATTTTCAAAAGATGTGAGTTTTTACTGAACCTGCAGTACAAACTGGCAGTTTTTAGTTTGAGAAGGTCCTCCTGGTTTAAGGCAATGAAATAAAATTAAAATACACACCTTTTTATTTTGCTTATGGGCCATGAGATATATCTTTGCTCTTAAAGTAACTTGCTCTTGAACATAGTAGAAAATAAATATTTTGTAACTTGAGCTCAAAAGAGAAAGCATTTTAGAAGACATGATCAGTATATACTATTTTTTTATATAAAAGTCCAGTACACATCCCTGTAGCTGCAGATACCAATTTCCTTCTTTTTTTCTCTTCTCCTGCCTCTTCAACACTCTCTTGGATATGTACTAAGCTATGGGTAGGATGAGATGTGTATTAAGTCTTTGTGCTTTGAAACTGCAGATCCCAGTGTTTAAAAATAATGAACCAAGTGAATCTTGGTTGAGTTTATTCAGCCCTTGTCTTAAGTGAGGTCAGCTGTTAATGCTGGTCAAATTCAGCTTGGAGGTTTGCTTTTCCTTCATGAGGTGACTTTTGCTAAGACTCCAGTCAGGTCTGGCTTGGTTCTGGATTCCAGTAGGTGTGCTGGCTAAACAGTAAATCCACAAGACTGCAATTATATGTAATTGCTAAGAAGAATCCTTACCACTTCTAGAGCTGTGGGGTTTTTTAGATGTCACTTGAGTTCTGCATAGTTGATGTTAATAGAGGCTTCAGGACTACAGCTGCTGGAAGAACAGCTGGCTTTCATGCAAGAAGAAAATGGGGGATTCCATGAGCCTCCCCTCCAATAAAAACCCACTTCTGAAGTAGAAAGGGAAAAAAGGTTGTGGCATTATTCATGAACATCAGCAATCCAACAATTATTTCCTAAGGAAATATGTTTTTTAAGAAGGTGAGGGAGGAACTTGATTAATGAGGAAAATCAAATTCTGGAAGTGTACCACTGAAATTTGAAAAGTTAGTATTTTGCTTTTCCCAGTCTTATTATTGTGCTTTGAATCCTGTATCGCTCATTTCCATTTGTAATTAATTTGTCTTGCTGAGAATACCTTTAGTAGCAGAAGAGAGTTGGGAGAATGACTTTGAAAAAGCTTAGTTTTCAGGTCTAATTGTATTGTATAAATAGTTTTAGATTTTTAAATTTTAATTTAAATCAATAGTCTCATCAGACAAATATTAACTATTTGTTATATGGTTATAGAGCTATATATAGAGTATGTATTTTATATATATATAAAAAATATTTAAGTTGCTTATCTCCATACATTTTAATGTCACTGCTACCTGGAATTTTTGGAGAAGGATGTTGCTTCAGCTGCATGTCCCTGAATGATGTTAACTGCCAAAATGCTCATCAGCTTTTTGTGTTTGAAAATTTATCTTTAGGAATGTCTTTGAATTCTGTGCCTTCTACTGTTCCTCTCTGCATTAAAATTCTTAGTGTATAAGTCTTTAAATCCCAGTAGGAATGGGTTTTTTTCAGTGTTTATTCTGTTTCGTTTTTTTAAGAGTAAGCTTCCCTATTTCCTCCTATAAAACTTCACTTTTCTATTGTTAGTCAATAACATCTCTTGATAAATGTTAGCTTTTTTCATTTGCTTAAAGGTGTCATTTTGGAGAAAGTAGAAAGCTTCCCATAAAGTTCTTCAGAGCTACGTTTTTTGGAACTACAGAAGTTTCAAACTTGTCTTGGGTTTCATGCTGGCTTTGTTTAAATCAACAAGTTATTTGTTTTTGACTTTTCTGGTTTTGTTCGTTGGGTGAGGAATTCTCTCAACAGAGGGAGTAGGTGAGTTTTGTATAGAAACAGTTGCAGAGATGTAATAAATATCTCAAATGCTTTCTGATTTGCTCTAGTTAATGATTATAGCGCTCTTTGCAGTTAGGTAATTTTTTCAGTGCATAAAACAGCAGAAAGGCATAGGGAACCAAATGTTGAATAGCTTTGTAAACTAAAGAAGGTTGATCTATTTTTTTTAAAAGTACACACTTTTCTTTCTTTTTTGTCCTAACATAGGAGCTGACATGTCGGGAAGAACTTCTGACCCTCCTCCTGTCACTTCTGCCATTGGTGTGGAAAATCCCTGTTCAAGAAGAAAAAGCAATACGTATGTTTTATCACTTACAGTACTAAGGACCTAAAAGAAGTGGTTTCTGTAGTATTACTGAGCATTAGACTCCTGACTAGAGTTCATTGTAATACATGTCCTCTTAACATAGAATGAAGATGTGGATTCTGCAGAGAATTGAAACTCAAATACCAATGTACTGTTAGCATACAAGGAAGATTAAAATTGTACAGGGAAGGTAAAGGCTCTTGGTTGGTGTGATATGCAATACTCACATTACTGTGTAGCTGAACTTGATGGTGGTGGGATTTTTTTTTCTTTTCAGGTGATTTGTTGGGGAAAAAGAGTTCAGAAAGAATATAGGATGGCTTTGCACATGTGAAGTGTTTCATGATGAGTAAAAGGGGAAAATGTCCTGATACTTTTTAAAAACAAAGTGATACACGCTGACACTAGAGACAGAATGAGACAGACTTTTTCTTCTGAAATTGAAGAAAAGGGAAGTAGAGAATAAGCTTAAAGCCGAAGAGTGGACAACAGTGTGAAAGAAGTGCAATGTTAGCAGGGAGACAGGCCCTGAAAAATAGAGTAATACTGGATGATTATGAACAGAACCGGGCTGTGTTCATCAGAAAATATTATGTTCTGTGTCAAACTGGTGTGCTAATTGAGGAATTAAATCAGAAGTGTTCCACTGCCAGAGTCAGTTTAAAGTGAATTAAAGAAATTAAAGGGATGATACAAAATAAACTCTGCAAAAACTGAACCAGGAAATGGCAGCAATTTGTTTGGTTAGTTTTGGGCTCTTGCATTTGATCCATTCTTTTCCCTGTTAGAGGATAAAACAAAGAGGACAAAACAGATGAGGTTACCTGTCTGTTCGAGAGAGTTCCTAAGGATTCTCACCTGAAGCTCTCCCAATGTTTTTTTGCTATTTTAAACTCCTGCAAATCGAAAGGTTTTGTTAATGTTTGTAGACTTAGAGTATCTAAAGTGCCAGTTTTGAAGCACTTTTATATAATAAAACTTTCCTGCCTGCTCAGTTGCATCATTCTTTCATGTTCCCGTAAGCATGATTGAATTAAAGAAACATTTTGGTTACCTTACGAGAGCTTAATGACTTCTCCAGGGTTAGTTTAAAATGCTGTTGTGTAAATAAGTTTTAAGATGTTCTGGTTTTGCACTCTGCGTAATGTACAGTTTTTTGCTTCTACAAATTTCCCTCTCATAGTAGTGACGCAGTAAATGTGATGTGTATCCTGATGTATCACCTGTATCCTAACAATGATGTATTGTAGTGCACAATCCCAGTTGTGCACTAAGAACTCTTATTTTTCTTGGACTGAAATAAATCCACCCGTATTAGACAGCTTTTTTATTTCTGTGCAGTACATATAATTTGTTTGATAAAGTACTTGTGGTTGATTTCCTGCCTCCAAAGCAGGTGTGATGCTTAAGGAAGAAACAGCAACTATGACTTTATGAAACAGCAAGGCACAATCATGATTCCACATGGAAGCATCTCATCTTTCAGTTTGATTAATGATTGTATCTATTCTGTGGGCTTTTGAGGTTTTGAGGGGAGCTGTTACTGTTAACTATCACATTTTTCTAAACACTAACCTTGCACTAATACTTGCATTTTATCTCACTTGCCAAAGCTAGTGAGATACCTATCCATAGTTTAGCCAGTGATGCTATCCATTTATGCAGTTCTGTCACTACTTAAAAATGACTATGGATTTTATGCAAGAATATACAGACTTGAAAGTTTGTCTGGGCTTGGTTTTTGTGGGAATATTCAGTACCCTGAACATTATTCTTTTCAGTCTCCCTCATGTCCCTGACTATTTTAAAATCAACTACTTTTTATTTCTGCTTTTTGTATTTGGAACAATTAACACCGAAGTAGAGACTGAAGTGTGTATGCTTGAAGATCTGCACTGTTTCTCAGAGAATTTATTTTTCTGTCACTACTAGCTTGCTAACAATTTCTTTATGCATTCTAAGAGGACTGAGTTAACGCATCTAGTTCCTATAGCAGCTGAGTTGCAAAAAGTGACAAGTTGAAAAAGACCTTTCTTCCTCCTCTTAGAGGTTTTTATTCACTTCTTGTGGGATAGGGACATTTGGCAATGCTTATACTGAGACTTTGAATATATCAAATGGCATACACAGAGTAAATACTGCGTGAGTAACTGGCTGGAACTGCTTCCATAGCAGAAATCTCAGAGTTGGTGACCTGCTGATTGATATTTTACTTCTACTTTATTAGTATGTCTAACTTATCCAAATTTAAATTGAATATAACGAGAGGCTTGTGGCTATATTGTTCCTTTAGATCCTATTTCTAACAGACCAAAAGATTTCCAGACTAAGCTTTCTTCCCTTTGCTTACCAGAAGGTAGTTTCATCTACCTGAATAACATCTTTCATTAAGAGAATGGAATAGCTATGCCTACAAAAAAGTTTTAGGAAACCCTCTAGCATGTTTTTTGTCTAACCCTAGTTAGAAAATGAACTAATATGTCTAGGCTTTGAAAATAGCCAGTGTGGTTCCCCAACATGAATTGTTGCTGACTTTTTTTTATACTGAGAATGTCAGACATAGGTATATGCAAAACCATGACCTATTAAGATACAAATTTATGTCATATTTTTAATCTGAAAGAATTAAAACTATAGACTTATATGTAAAACATTTTTCCTAATGTTCCTGAGTTTTCCTTTAATGTTACTTCATTATCTGTCTCTTCAACAGATTTTAATATACCCTTTATGGTAGACATATGCCTGACCAAAGAGAACAATTCAAGTTCTGTGAAATCTACTCAGGAAAAACTGGGGTTAGATGGAAGCACTCGTTCATCTCTTCAGGCTTCTGTAAAATTAAATCCCCGGTCTCGAAAAAGTGGACGTCTGCGTAAAACCACCCATCGTTATTCCGTGAGAGATGCAAGAAGATCTCAGCTGTCCACTTCAGATTCAGAAGGCAATTCTGATGACAAGACTACTGTAACAACAAAACACAGACGCTCCCAGTTACTGCAACCTTTTTTAACATATCCAGTTAGGGACAGCTACCTTGTAGGTAGAAGTGATTGCCTACCTGGGGAAGTGGTACCAAATTCTAATCCTGATGCTCCTAATCTAGAAAATTCCAGCCAAATTATTCCAGTACATGAGCTAAACCCAGAAATTTTGAATGAGCCAGCTGCAGGAATTGCTGAGAGCAACATGGATAACTCTCCTTTTGATTTATGCCATGTCTTATTGTCACTTCTAGAGAAAGTGTGCAAATTTGATATTACTTTGAATCACAGTTCTGCTCTTTCAGCTAGTGTGGTGCCCACATTGACTGAGTTCTTATCAGGATTTGGAGGCTGTTGCAATGTAAGTAGTAACACAGAAAATGAAGTTTCTGCGGGGTGGACAGAAGAACCTGTGGCTCTGATCCAAAGGATGCTCTTTCGAACAGTGCTGCATCTTATGTCTTTAGACATTAACAATACAGAAACAATGCCTGACAATTTACGAAGAAATTTAATAGACTTACTTAAAGCAGCATTAAAAATCAGAATTTGCTTGGAAAAGCAACCTGATCCTTTTGCTCCAACATGCAAGAAAACACTAGAGCAGCCAGTTCAGGATGAATTAGTATTTTCTAGATATCATCACAGAGCCTTGCTTCTACCTGAGGTTATAGAAGGAATCTTGCAGGTTTTGATCTGCTGCCTACAAAGTGCAGCCTCCAATCCATTCTACTTTAGCCAAGCTATAGATCTGGTTCATGAGTTCATACAGCATCAGGGATTTAAGCTATTTGAAGTAACAGTGCTTCAAATGGAATGGCTGTGTATGAAGAACGAAGGAATAACTGGGGAAGCCTCAGATCATCTGAAAGCCCTGATCAACAGCATCATGAAAATAATCAGCACTGTCAAAAAAGTGAAATCAGAGCAGCTTCATCAATCAATGTGTACAAGAAAGCGGCACAGACGGTGTGAGTACTCCCACTTCATGCATCACCACAGAGATCTCTCTGGGCTCTCTGTATCTGCTTTTAAAAACCAAGCTTCCAAAAACCCCTTTGAAACTGCTGATGGAGAAATTAATTATCCTGACAGATGCTGTTGCATTGCTGTTTGTGCCCACCAGTGTTTGCACTTGTTGCAACGAGTTTCTTTGAGCAGTACTTGTGTTCAGATTCTCTCGGGTGTACATAATGTAGGAATATGTTGTTGTATGGATCCAAAGTCTGTGATCGTCCCATTGCTTCATGCTTCCAAGTTACCAATATTAAAAAACTTTCAACAGCACATACTGAACATCCTTAACAAGTTTATATTGGATCAGCTGGGTGGAGCAGAAGTTTCTCCAAAAATTATACAGGCATCATGCAATATATGTACTGTTGACTCTGATCAACTTGCTCAGCTGGAAGATGCCTTGCAAGGCAACTCTAGTGATGCTGGTCTTGCATCTAGTTCCTCTTGCAGAGTTCAGGGAATTCTGCCCAGCAGTGGATCTGAAGATACGTTCTTAAGATGGGATGCATTGGAGGCTTATCAGGACATAGTTTTTGAAGAAGACAAATTACGCGGCATGCAGATTGCAAGCCATATTTGCCACTTAATTCAAAAGGGAAATGCAGTGGTCCAGTGGAAACTATATAACTGCATTTATAATCCTGTGCTTCAGAGAGGAGTTGAGCTAGCTTGCCATGCTCAACAACTTGGACTAACTACAGCTGATAAACACATATGCAGTTGCCATAGCCAGTGTTTGCCTTCTGAAGTACTTCAGATTTATTTGCAGACGCTCCCTGTGTTGCTTAAATCGAGGTTGGTTGATTTTTGTATTATTAATGGAAAGCATGCTAATTATGTACAGAGCTTTGTAGATTTGTTACTGATCAGAATGTAAGTTTTATTTGGACTATAGGCTGCACTTGAATATTGTAGGGGTGGCAACAAGATAAATGCTTTAATAACATAAGATTTAATCCTAGATTCATAAACCATAGAAAGTGAGGGTGCTGTACTGATGAGTTATGGTCTTTAACAAGCCAAAGTGTGTAGAAAGAAGTAAATCTTTGTCTAATGTGATATGCTCTTTGGCTCTTCATTCCTCATGCTGAAGTGAGTCAGGAGTGTTGAACAGATTGACATGTCACTTTTCTGTGGGAATTAGACTACTTAGTTTTCTGATGTGTTTTCCTTTTCCCTCTAGAATGGTCTTCATAGCAACCACTTTCAAAAATAAGGCTTGAGAGGTTTACTTGTCCTGAAATAATTGTTTCCTAATTTACAAAATTTAAACATAGCTTTTTTTAAAAAAACAAACAGGAACTCCCCCTCCCTCCCCAAACATTCTTCCAAGGTGTGAAATAGAAACTTTCCTATTTATTGTTGAATTGATGAAATAGTTGTTTAATACAGTATATGGTTTATTCAGAATATGAATGTGTCCTTTCAACCAGGAGAGATTCTGATCTTTTCTGTTAGAGTCCTGATAGACTGAAGTGAATTTACTTGGGCTAAGACTATTGCAAAGAACAGACTAATATTCCAGTTGATGTAAAGGATTGTCTAATACATTTTTAACTTTTATCCTAGCCTAAACTGTATCAGAAGCTATTAATTTTTGAAAGACAATTTAGTGGCAAAGAGGCAAGAGAAGTAAAGTTTATATTAAAAGCAGTTTAAAGTATCCTTTTTCCTACTAGCTTAAAGATGTGAATATAGCAGTAAGTGTAAGATTCGTTTGATTCTAGTGTGTAACTCAGTTACAGTAAAAGCTGACCCTGGGGAAGGAGATGGGAGGTACACTAAGAATCCTACAGATCCGTAGCCCAGATTCTGTATGAACTCAGTGTAATACTTGGAGTAGAAAGAAGGGAAAAATATACTTGGAAACAAATATACTGGAAGGTTTTTTAACATTAGACATCCTGGCATAACAATTGAACAAAAAGTTGTGCTTGAAAGGTGTTCCTGAATTCTGTCTGAAATAGATTGTCCATGCAACTAAGACACAGCTAGTAAAAGGTCTTAAAACTTGAAGTTTATTTGAGAAGGAATCTCTACTTTCTGGTGAAGTCACAGAACTGAGAGAAATAAAGATATTTACTGGCTTCAATTGCTAATAAAAAGCTAGGGGGAGGAAGTACCACTAACAAGCAAATGTCATAAAGTTAAACACCTTTTAATGTTTTGAACATCATACATCTTTGTGGTCTTCATTTTAGAGGTTAATATTTCCTACATTATATCCTACAAAAAAAAAGAACTTTCTACTACCAGGTGGGTAATGCTTGGGATTCTAGAGTACTGCAGACAAGTTCCTCTCTTTAATTTACAGTTTACAATAATTTATAGTAATTACTGTAAACGTGATAGATCCTTGGTGTTACTCAAGTGTGTAGAACAGAGGGTTATTTTTTTATAAGATGTCACCTGAACTACATAAATTTGTGGCTGATTTTATAAGGTAACTCTTATGCTTTCTCTTGCAGGGTAATTAGAGACTTGTTTCTGAGTTGTAATGGAGTGAATCAAATGACTGAGTTAAATTACTTAGATACTTTAAGAAGCCATTCTCTGAAAGTGTTAGAGACTTTGATACTCTGCCTTGGTGACCAGCAGAAAGATCAAGCAATGCTAGAACTGGAAGGCCTGAAGAGTGAACAAAAGGAGTCTACGTCTGACTTGCCTGCTTCTCTTTGTGGCCAGCATACTGTTTCAGAAGTTCCTCAAAGCCTGAGCAAGTTTTATGCTGGCTTGAAAGAGGCTTACCCTAAAAAGAAAAAGTTTGTGAGCCAAGACATTCACATCAACACAATAAACCTCTTTCTCTGTGTTGCTTTTTTATGTGTAAGTAAAGAAGCAAATGGTGATCTGGATTCAGCTAATGACTCTGAAGATACATCAGGGTATGATAGTACAGCTAGTGAGCCATTAGGCCACAAATTACCGTATCTGTCACTGGAAAGCCTTACTTTGCCCTCTCTGGAACATATTCACAGGGCTGCGGATATTTGGTCCATGTGTCGTTGCATATATTTGTATAGTTCAGTTTTCCAGAGGCAGTTCCATAGACTTGGAGGCTTTGAAGCGTGCCATAGATTACTAATACTGATAATACAGAAACTTGCAAAAAATAAGGAAAAGGAGCAAGAAAAGAGGGAGAGAGTATTGGGTGAAAGCAGCAGAAGTTCACATGGGAGTCCTCACGAGCTTCTCAACAAGGATGATTCTGTTCAGTTGGCTAAAAGCAGAGACGTGACACAATTGGAGCTCGATCGCTCCGACAGTCTTTCTGGTGCCGAACAGCTGGTGCCTGAACGAGTCTCCTGTGACAGCTCTTTGAGTAGGGAACACACTTCAGATACTTCAGTTGCCAATCTTGAAGGAATAAAGACTTCTGTAAGAGAAGAGACTGAGTGGGCACTTGAAGGTATCAGACTTCTAGAAGCTCTGCTGACAATCTGTCTACACAGTGTAAATACCATGCAGAAGACGGAAGTGGAGATGTGTCACCAGGTACTGTGCAACTTCCCTTATCTTACTTTACCCATATTTGTTACACACAATGTTATTTTAACAGAAATTTAGTCAAAAGTTCTTTTAGAAGTGAAAAAAGCTTATGCTTTTATTATGGTACCATGTTTTTTGTGTAGTACTGAAAGCACATGGTTAAATGATGTGCAAAGTAGTCAGGGGTAGTGGTCCCCAGGCATGAAAGAATAGGAGTGGGTGGATGAAGAAACTGGCAGTTCCTGTTTCTGAGGAGGCATCTTCCCATGTGTCAACTTGCCGCTTTTTGTATTCAGTAAAATGCTGGTAAGGACCTCGCACTTAATTGCTTGTTCTCCAACATGATCTTTGTCCTCTGCTCTTCTGGGTTGGATCCCTCTTCATGCCAGTTGCCTCCTTGGGGGCTGGGAGAAAGCCTTCCAGAGTGGCAGGTTGATCTGGGCTGGATGAGATTTTTACCTTGCTCACTCTATTTGAACTATATTTCTGGTTTATTGTTCGTGTATCTGTTGCAGTTTGGGCCAGCACGGTCAACATGGCTAAGGGCCGAACTCGGCATCAGATGCTGTTTTCTGGGTTAATGTACCCTGAGTCCCAGGGGAGACTGTGATCCTGGCAGATGAAGATTTTCTTTTTTTGCATAAAATGGTCCTAATTACATGCAAGGGATGGTTTCCTCTGACTACAAAGACAGTAGTGGATGTTGACAACTGTGAATTGCTGGCTGACTATGCCTGTATTCTTCTGGTCAGCTATGACCTGCTTTTTCTGTGGTTTTTTTTTTTTCCCTTCCCGTGTAGTCCTTTTGTCTAGTCCCACATGCTCCACAGGCTGGCTGAGCTGATGGGGTTTGAATGGCAGGAGACACTTGGGTTTTTTTGAAAGGGTATGCAGTGGAGAATGTGTGTGACAGAGGTGGGACTGAAGGAGAGCTGCATAGGCAAGACGTGAGTGTTACACTTAGTGAGTCATATGTGGTGTTTTTGATGAAGGTTCTGAGCAGGGCATGGCACGTGAGAGAGAGGAATATTAGAAGTAACAGGTCCTGAAAGGACACCTGAAAAAGCTTTACTTCAGTGTTGCAGAAAGTAGTTAATTCACAGAAGACACTTTCACGATGTTTTAATGTTTTAATTGCTATCTTGAATTTTACTTGGCAGTTTTTTACAAAGCAGGAGGGCTTAGGTACAGGAGAGAACTGGAAATTGGAATTCTGTCTGGGCCATGTGCTATTTCTGTGAATTTGGATGTGTGACCCTCTGTCTTGTTAAACTCTCTAGTATTATTGTGGTGTGATTTGAATGCACTGTGTACTCAAAACTTCCAGAGATGTTTATTTCTGAAACAGTGCTTTCACTTGCAAGGTTTGGGAAACAACACGTTGCCAGACCTTTTTTCAGTGTGCGGGTTGCTTAACCAACTAAATCTGTTATGACAAACAGGATGAATCTTATTGCAAGAGACTGGAGGAAGTCTGATGGTTTTAGCTGAGAAGTCAGATTAGTGTAGGTGGAAAGGGAAGTTCTTGAATGAAAGTACTAGACCATTTCTGTTGCCAAAACAGAATAACATGAATCAAAATGTTTGTCTCTTCCCCAAAACACAGAATACCTGTGTCGATGATATCTTACTTCAAATAAGAGAGCAGCTTGCTCAGTCAAAAGTGGTAGAAACTGACTTGGCAAAGCCTCTGTTTGATTCACTGCTTCATGTTGCATTGGGCACTTTTTCTGCTGACTTGGATCATTCTGAAGAAAAAATTGAAAAGGTATGTGACACCGACTAAGTAGTCTGAGCAAACCTTGCAGTATTTAGAATTAATCAGGTTTATGTTGTTTGGGTCTATTTTTAAACTCGATAGGACATGTTTAAATGTGTTTGGTGATTGTGGCTGTTAAAGATTAATTTTCTGATTCTCATATGTAAGTTGAATGCTGGTTATTGATATGGTCCCCACATTTGCTGCTCAGAAATGAGTCATGTCCCAAAAAGGAGCAAGTTGTGCTATAATTTATGGACATACCTGAAATCACACATTCTCTTCACTCCTTGTCACCCTCTGGGGGATGAAGCTCTCAACGGGAGAGCTTCAAACAGGGATGTTGACCTTAGTGGCTGCAGACATATCTTCACCTTAGAGTGAATGTCAAGGTGCATGTTTATGGTGATAGTGATTTTTTGGAAACACAGTTGTTCCTAATGCACTGGCCACTTGCTTACCAAAGCTTTGGTCATGTAGTTAGTAAGAAAAATCCATCTTTGCAGAATTCATTTTCTATGTAAGAATGAAGTATCCATAAAAAAAAAATCTCAAGTTTCTTGAAAGAGTATGATTAGTTTGTTCTTTTACCATTGGGCTTAGAGAAATTAGGCATCTGGAAGGTTCTAAATTACTTGCTTTTCTGACTGAAGATGGTAAATTTGTTTGTGTTGTGCAGACCCATTACACTGAAAAGGAGCCTGTGTCACAACCTGGAGATATTTCTGAAGAAACTGAAGAATCACAGTGCTGTAGTCTTAAACTTTTTGCTGAAGAGGAAGGATATGAAGCAGATAGTGAAAGTAACCCTGATGATAATGAAGCCAAGAATGAAGGTAAATGTGAACTTTCTGACTATACAAAGCAGCCTTTATGACGTAACAAAGCTTCGTTGTCTTTTGAGATTTACAAAAGTAGGGTGAGCATTGGAGACCTTTAACAGATAGCTGTTACAGATGGAGAGAAGATGAATATTCTTGCTGTTATACGAACTGCTGTCTTGGTTTTCTTGGTTTACGTGACTCTTGCTCTAAAGTCACGTTGCTAAAATGTATTATGGTAGCCTAGAAGCAGTTTTCTCCAGAGGTGCTTATCAGTAGTTTGTCTGAAAATCAATGCTCAATTTTTTATTTAGTATTATAACAATCTAGTAAAAAATAGGTAATCTAATTATATCTCTATATTCATTCAACAACTGATGTGCACATCTCTTGCTGTATTCTGTATTTTCATTTTGAACATGAATTTCCTTTAATTTTTTCCTTTGTGCTGAATGTCTGTATGCTTATGTTCTTGTATGAGGTCAGTATGAGCAGTAACGGCCTTTAATAGAACTGCATTCAACTGTTGCTGCTTACCTGTGTGACTAGGCTTTATCAATAGATATACAACACTTAAATTTTTAATTCAAAAATGCTTTTAAGCCTGAAATATTTCCATGAAACATAGGGCTGTACCAAATAATTTTAAGTAACATGTTTTTAAAGTCTATCCAAGATATGAGTATTGGGTTTTTTGCTTTTTCTGTTGTCATGGAGATATTCTGTCATGTGTGACGTGCATTTTGAGTTAAACAACTGTTCCCCCCAACCTCTTAACATGAAATCAAATAACTTCAATTTATCTCCTTTCTTGGCAGGCTCAGAGTTCTGTATAGAAGCTTGAGGCTCTATTACAACGGTTTTACTGTCATGTTTCATGAATTGTGTATTTCATCATTACTATGTGTGTCCAGTTCCCAGGAAATGAAGGCACATAGTTTAAGACTATGTAATGGGAGAAGTTAATCCTTGCTCTTCTGTATTGGCAGGAAAACATGAAAATCTGAAGCAGAGTAGAAGATTACACTAACCTCTGAAAACTGCTTATAAGCTAGTGACTATTTTTGTTTTGTACCTATGAGAAGGTTGGAGAAAGTATGTCCTTGGATGTTCTGTTTAAATCATGCAAACTGTATTCACCTGAGTAAATTTCAGGAGGACAACTGTTTTCTTTCAGGAGCAGACACAAAGGCAGAACTAGGATGTATGGGTCCTTCAGCTTATTTTAATGACTCATCTGAAAACGTCAGTCAAGGAGAATTAATGTATCCTGAAATCTGCATGTTAGAATTAAACTTGCTCTCAGCTGGTAACGCAAGTTTAGATGTGCTTTCTCATGTATTCCAAAGCTGCCTGAAAATCATCAGCCAGAAGGAGAGAAATGCCACTGTACTTATAGAACAGGTAAAAATGTTATTAAACAAAGACAACAGCTTAGCACTTGTATATCTTATTTTCTTTAGTTTTATAGTACCAGTATACCTAATAGAGTGATCTCAGAAATACTCTCGCTTGTTATGGCATTTGATAAGACCTGAAACAATGTAAATGACTGATACTGCCAGCTACACTACATTTAAGTTACTGGAAACTACAGTTAACTAATGTATAGAAAGATATTTGACCTACAAAGCTTTTGAGTTTCACAGTGGCCTCATTTTATCAAGACTGTTCAATCACTAGAGCTATAGATACAGATTTATTGACTGTCAGGCCATTGAAAAAGACACAAAAAAGCAAATATCTTCTTGTATATGTATATATGTAAACATTCTAAATATGTATGTATTTTAGAAACTTTCAGTGATGTTCCTCAGATATTTTATGCTTTTAATTATTCATAAGTTAATATTAGAAATCAGTTATGCACATACTGATATCCTTGTGACCCTTTGGAATTTCTGATGGTTAGCTTGTTTTTTGCTTTTTAATAACTAAATTGAGTATGCCTCTTTTGCAAAAGAAGAAACTATGATTAAGCAATCTAAGCTTAAAGTGCTTGTTTATATAATCATTTGACCAAGAAGCAAAGTTGCTTTAAGTTTACAGCTTAAACCAAAAGCAGGAAAACACTTTTCTTTTAGTACTCCAATTGTTTGTGTGAATTATTAGCCTCAAATCACTAGCACACATGTATTTCTTTTTTCTGAACTTCAACATATCAAATTACTTAATTCAAAATAACTTAATTTTTGTTACTCTTCAATATTGTTTAGAAAGAGCAATCTATTGAACAAATCAATTTAGAGATTTTGAATATCTTTTAGAGATTTTTCAAGTTACCTTTAAGATGAATTTGTGAAGGGTGATTATAAGTAAATGGCTTTTTTTTTTAGCTTTTTAAAGTAATCTTGCATAAAAAGATTGGGGAAAGATTGAATTTACTTTCAGTATTGCACCACTCTATACCAAGATGCTGTATTTTGTCACAACCTGTCAAATCCTGTAATTCTGTTATGGAAGAGAAGACAAGGGAGATCTCAGCTGCTGAACTGATAATGGCTGAAAGGTTTCTTTTTAGAATCATTTGGATTTCAAAGTCTGTCTTATACAACTGAACTGTATAGAACATGAAATATGAAAAATACTTCGTAGTTTAAAATAACTGGAATTGTCTTTAAATTCAATAGTAGACACAAATTGAAAGAAATTTTTTCTTAGTTCTTTGAGCTGGTGTATATTCTTCAGATAGCAATTTTCCATGTGTTTTTGTAACAGGGAGCTGTTAAACATCTTTTGGGAGGATTTCTGAACATATTGACACAAACAGAGTCGAGTTTTCATGGTGAGTTCAAGGTCTAAGTAACTTAAATATTGTTTCTTATAACTTAATGTGTACACAGTCAAATTTTTAGTTCACAATGCAAGTGCAAAATTGACAAAGCAAATTCATTGGCATGTGTGAATTTGTGCAGCTGCTTTGACTTGTGCCAGGTATCTAACTTGGGTATAAATACAGAGTGGTTTCTGAGCTAGTGGAAATCTGTTGTGTAAACACAGGATGGCAGATCTGAAAATTATAGTTGATATCATAAACTTAGAGTGACAGTATTAACAAACGTTGCTCTGAAAAATAACAGTTATCTTTACAGATTGAATCTGACTCCATCCCAACATAAGTTTTTATTTCAATTTTATTTGTAACACAGGTCTTCGGGATGTTTTGGTTGAGTTTTATTTCTAATCAGAAGACAGTTAGCTAATACAAGAATGTGGAAGCAAATCAAAAGGTTTCCCTAAAGTAGCCTCACATAATGAGGTTGCTCCACAGCAGGAGATGATGTAAACCCATCCCAGGACTTTGATCCCTGGTTTTGTGGGGAGAGCCTTTGCAATGTAGTTGCTAGGTTCCCCGACTTTGACTCCACTTTGCAAACTTAGGAGCCAGACTTGCTGTAGCCATCTAGATTCAATCAATGAAATGATGTCAGGAAGTACTGTTGAATTCTAGAGATCTCCATCTTGTAGTCATTACTGCTTCCTGAATTTGAAATGTTTTTGTGAAACACTCTGAATTCAAAGTTAATCTTTCCTCAAATAGTATGGAATATGAATTTTTAAGGCTTTTAAAGAATTCTTTTTAAGACTATTTTGTCATCTTATTTCTAGCATGTCAGGTGGTGCTGGTAGACCTGTTAGTTTCCTTGATGAGTTCACAGACATGTTCAGAAGAGCTAACTCTTCTTCTGAGGGTATTTTTGGAGAAGACACCTTGTACGGTATGTAGTGGAGTAGCAGATAGCAAAATTTAGAGGCTTAATGAGAAAAATGAAGCAAAAATAAAATCCTTTGTGTCCTATTATTTGGGAATTAAGGAGACTAACAGCAACGTTTTAACTGATCAGAGGTAATAAAATTTGGTCGTTGAAATAATTCACTCTCAAAACATGAAAATGAAATGGGAGAAAAGAGGGTTTTGAAGTGTATGTTAGAGTCCTAGGAGATCTCTTCAGCACAAGAAAACAAGATTCCTCTTGAGGAAACTGACATTGTGGTTAGGGATGACAGAACACTGTCATACTGTAAAATTTAGTCATTCCTTGAAAGTTATAAAGCATCTCACTATTTCAGGAATGCTTTAGTAGCAGGAATTACTTTCAAAACTGTCTTAAGTTGGTTTGTGTACACTGGAATCTACTGTGTGTGTGGGATATACTGCTGACATACCTCTCTTGGTTTGTGTGTGAGCCTGTAGAGGAAAAAAAAAAAAAAACCCCACAAGTGGAAGGAAATAAAATGCTGTTGAGTCTGAAATAGTACCAAACCAAACAAGGAGGCACAAGTAAGTTTTTTGTTTGTTTGTTTTTTTCCCCCAAGGTAGCTTGCAATAATTGGCGAAGTAACTAGAGAAACTTTTTGGCTTAAGGGCTCAGCTAGTTTTGTTACTGATTATGCAATAACAAAGTGATGGCCTGTGTGTGCATTCTTAATCAGCCTCAAATATGGGGTAAAAGGTGTGGGTTTTTGTTGAGGTATAAATTAATCTGTTAGCACATAACAAATGTGAGATAAGATTGTGCAATGATCCACCTGCTGTGGTTCAGCTGATTCCTAAACATGGTAACTTGAAGACTGATCTGTCCTGACTAAATCCCCAAAACTGTTGGGCCGTAGTCTGTTGAAGTTGTTACTTGATGCTTTGTAAATATGTGTCAGTTTGTGTATGAAAGTCTGCCCCTGGAAAAACACAAATCCAGATTTAAATGAAGAGTTGAGTTCTCTTTAGTTGGATGACACTTGACTACATGGTGTAAACAGTTTGATTTGTTTTTTCTCATTTGTTTTGTTTGTTCTAGGAGATACTATTGAAGGGTGTACTGAAGATTATAGAAAATAATATCTATATGAACCCATTACAGTACCTTGCCTTCCCTCTGCTACATGGCACAAATTTAAGTAGTAGTTCTTCACAAAAATCTGCTAGCAGTTCCAACAGCAAAACTGCTGGACTATTAAAAAGAGCAAAATTTTCACAGAGTAAGAAAGAGGCAGATGGTGAAAACTTGAGTCACCAGCTGCTTTCTTCTTGGCATGTAGCCCCAATCCACTTGCCTTTAGTTGGACAAAACTGTTGGCCACACATGTCTGAAGGCTTTAGTGTCTCACTGTGGTTTCATCTGGAATATGCTCATGAAATAGAAAACTCAACAGAAAAGGGGAAAAAAATCAAAAGAAGAAGCAGACTGGTAGCTGTAAGAGAGAACAGCTTTGACAGCACAGGTGAGGATATAATACTTCCTGTTTCTATTTAGGTAGCACTGAAGGATTCTGGTTACAAGTATTACTAATTGATGTGCCATATATGAAAGGTTGAATTTTTTTCTTATGATGGATATTGAAGAGGAGTGGTAGTCTTTCCAGCTTTTCCTTTGAGTACTTGTATCATGTACTCAAAGATAAAACATTTCCAGCCTTAGTCCTTAAGTTAAATTAATGCCTGCTTCCTTAGAAATATAGTATTCTTATTGAATTTGTAACTTCAGTAAAATGTCTTTATGCTATGTCATATTATGTGAGGAAAATATTAAGTGCTGCAGCTGAAAGGATATGGGAAAAGACTGCTCTCAAGTTTATTTGGTCTCATGTATTGATGAAGCAAGTGGCTTTTGTGTTTTCTCTTTAACAGAGAGTTAAGTGATTTAGTATTTAAATACTGGAACTCTTAGCTAAAAAATGCTCTGAATCCATCAACTCAGAGCCTGAGGCTGACTCAGTATAAATCCTCTAACTTTCCTTGTGTGTGCCATTGTAATGTCAATAGCTGTACAACGTTTCTCCGTTTATACTTCTGTAGACACTCACATGCTCTAAACTCTGTGGAGCAGAATCTTTTGGATTATAATTTGTAGGAGGAAAAATTCCTTAAATTATTTAAAATACCTCCCAATCACAACACTTGGAATACCTCTTACTGTACTTTTTTCTTTTTTACTGTATTTGAATAGAAGTGGGGAAAACACAACCCTGAATCTTGGAACTCACTAGAGCTGCTTTTGTTAGAAGGTCTGCGGTTTTGCTTGGTAAAGTAAAATGGTTAGAGGATAGAATGATTTGTGAAGAAAAATCTGAAGATTTCTTGGTGCACACTAAGACTGACAGTTCAACATAATGTAATATGATATGGCATGTCAAAAGCATCATTGAATTAGTGTATTCATGCTTAGTGGGTTTACATGATTACAAAGAAAAACGTGTAGTCCTGAGTTACTGTTAAGCTTCTCTGTTTCAGTATATGAGACCTAGGTCTCTGAAGATGAATCACATGTATTAGTCAGCTCACTAAAAAAAAACCAAACCCACAGCAAACAAAAAACTCAATTCTCTGTAGTACCTGAACTACTACTTTTTACCTTGATAGCTGGCAGGACAGACGTTGTATTGTATTGTAATTGTGTATAACCATGTTTATATTTCTAGAAGAAACAAAGTCTATAGGAATGGAATACCTAAGCCTGGGAGATAAACTTGTTGAAGATGGCTGTATTCATATAATTTCACTGGGTTCCAAAGCATTGATGATACAAGTCTGGGCAGACTTGAACACTGGAGCATTCGTATTTCGGTATGGTGTGTTAGTCCGAAAGCAGTCTTGTGAACATATGTGTTGTTACTTCCAGTAGCAGCTTGCAGAGAATACTGGTGGAGGCTAGAGAACTAATTTCTATAGTAGAATTATCTTGCACACTGATGGCAACGTCAAGTAAGGTTATTGCATACAGGTCTACAGGATTACTTGCTTAAAATGTTAGTCTCTGGTCTTGCATGTTTCATGTAGTCAGATACAAATAATTGCCTAAAGTAAGATGCAAGATCAGTCATAAACGTAATGCAAGGTGGCAATTCAAGTATTCATGAAATGACACAAAAATGTGTGAAGATAGGCAAAAGCTTTTGTAGCTGTAGGTTTTCACACATCAGGTATGAAAATTGCTGTTATCTAATACTTACTGGGACAATCTTAATTTTAATCCTCTGAACACATCTTAGCCCTAATTTAATTCTCATAAGTAATGTATCTTTAAAATGGGTCTAAAGCTGCAATTTTAGAATGCTTTGTTTCAGTGTTCAAAACACCTGCATTGTTCAATAAACCAAACTTAACTTCTCCGTAAAATAGGCAATATCCTTATCCTAAATGTAAGCAGATTCATGCAAACAAGTTAAATAACTAAGTTGAAAGTGTAATGTGAGGATTTCGCTAGCTTATGTTGAGCACTCTAAATATAGTATTGTGATAAAAAAAATTATCTGTAAAGTTAAGGAATGCATTCTCAAGTAATTGAGGCCAAAGAATTGCAGATTTGGGGCTCAAAATGCAAATTTGAAAACAAATGCACACACTTGATTTTCCTTTGTTGTTTTCATAGTATGTGCATGGATCCAAATGATGAGATGAAAGCTGGTCTGCTGGCACAGGCTGAATCTCCAGAGAATGTTTTCCTTGTGGGCGGGTGGCAGCATTTGGCAATAACATATCTGCAGCAGCCAGAAGGCAAGAAAAATATCCATGGGAGGCTATTGCTGTGGGTTTCTGGTCAGAGGTAAAGTATACATTAGTTGGACCTAGATTTTTATCTTAAAAAGATGTTCTCTGGTAGGAAAACATCTGCACTACTTTGGCGCAAGCTGAAGTTATAGTTGAGTAGTCCTTTGAGGGTAGGAGAGGGGTGTCTTATCCTGCTAGGCATTCCCTAGGAACATCAAGAATGCTCTTAAATGCTTTGACACCATTTTCCACAGCATTCTCCTGGAGAAACTGGCTGCTCATGGCTTGGGTGTGCACCTTTGCTGGGTGAAAAAACGGTCTGGATGGCCAGGTCCGAAGACTTGTGGTGAATGGAGTTAAATCCAGTTAGTGGCTGGTCACAAATGGTGTTCCCCAGGGCTCAGTATTGGGGCCAGTTCTGTTTAATATCTTTATCAATGATCTGGATGAGGGGATCAATTGCTCCCTCAGTAAGTTTGCAGATGACACCAAGTTGGGCGGGAGTGTTGATCAGCTTGAGGGCAGGAAGGCTTTACAGAGGGATCTGGACAGGCTGGATTGATGGGCCAAGGCCAACTGTGTGAGATTCAACAAAGCCACGTGCCGGGTCCTGCACTTGGGTCACAACAACCCCACGCAACACTACAGGTTTGGGGAAGAGTGGCTGGAGAGCTGCCTGGTGGAAAAGGACCTGGGGGTATTGATCAACAGCCAGCTGAACATGAGGTGGCAGTGTTCCCAGGTGGCCAAGAAGGCCAACAGCATCCTGGCTTGTATCAGAAATAGTGTGGCCAGCAGGAGTAGGGAAGTGATCGTATCCCTGTACTCAGCTGGTGAGGCTGCACCTTGAATCCTGTGTTCGGTTGTGGGCCCCTCACTACAAGAAGGATGTTGAGGTGGTGGAGCATGTCCAGAGAAGGGTAATGAAGCTGGTGAGAGGTCTGGAGAACAAGTTGTTATGAAGAGTGGCTGAGGGAACTGGAGTTGTTTAGCCTGGGGAAAAGGAGGCTGAGGGGAGACCTTATCACCCTCTACAACTACCCAAAAGGAGGTTGTAGCGAGGTGGGTGTTGGTCTCCTCCCTAGTAACAAGCAATAGAACAAGAGGAAATGGCCTTAAGTTGTGCCGAGGCGGGGGTGGTGATTGGATATTAGGAAAAATTTCTTCACTGAAAGGGTTGTCAAGCAGTGGAACGGGTTGCCCGGGGAAGTGGTTGAGTTGCCTTCCCTGGAGGTGTTTAAAAGACATGTAGATATGGTGCTTAGGGACATGGTTTAGTGGTGGACTTGACAGTGTTAGGTTAGTTGTTGACTTGATCTTAAAGGTCTTTTCCAACTTAAACGGTTCTATGATTCTATGAGAATCTTCAGTTCATACTGTGGACCAGTGCAGACATCAATGTTTTTCTTCATCATGATGAAGTGAAAGAGGTAAGTACTACAAGACTTTGAATAAGATCCAAAAAAACCTATGGCATGAAGTTATCAGTAGGCATAATGTCTCTGGTTAAGTTAAGAATTTGAATTAAAGGAGGTATAGTTCAGGTACTGGCAATACTGTTGAAAGTAAGAATGATGAGGAGATGGAGGGAAGGCAGTCATTTTGCTCCACTGAGAGAAATGGAGAGGGAAGAAGCTAAAAAAGGTATTTCAGACAAAATCTAAACTGGCAGTGGGAGGTGCTACTACTTCCACTGAAGGCTTAAAGTCCATGGTCCTAAATGAGGTACCTGATGCTAGATTGGGTGAGCCTGTGCCTGCATGAAGTATTCACTGGTTAGAGAAAAAGGAATTTATTAAATATCACAGTTTTTATCCTTTCTTCCTAAAGTCCAGACTATGAAGACTTCGTCACAAATAGAAGCAGTGGTCAAAATACTATGTTGTAAAACAATTAGATGTATTGCAAACATGCTTTACTATTCCTCTAGAATTTCACCAGTAAACGAGCAATGTTACTGAAAACACTCCTAAAACTCTATGTAGGAAAAAAGCTGTTGCACAGTTTTTCTTCCTGCAGTTAAACCTGGAATTGTAAAGTATAATACTTCTTCCACTTTGTTCCTGAAACTACTTAGAATTAATTTTTAAGGAACTTGATTTCCTCCCCAGCATTGTTCAGTCTGTGCATGCTGATATGCAATAAAGTCCAAATATGGATATACAGGGGAAACTAAAAATAATACCATGTTCTGCACATGCACAATTAATGAGGCCCCCCTATATACAGAGTTAGTTGCCAAGTTGCCAATTTGCTAATAGTTAGGCTCTTCCAGGAAGCTTCAGATGACCTTTACAGTCCAGTTGGTCTGCTTATGTAAATTCATATGAGGTTAATTGGATGCTTTCTGAAAGCATCAGGGTTATTGCCCATAGCTGTACAGCACGCTAGCTCTGACAATGTTTCCTGGTATAAATAAATCCTCAACATTGTATTTACCAGCATATGTCAACCACGGTTGTCACGACGTGCATTAACATATTCAAAGGCCTTTGACTTCTTAGAATTTCTTCAAAAATTGTGATTTTAGAAGTGTATATAGTGTTATACAGTTTCTTTGAGGTCAGAGGGAAGGAGGAAGGAATTTCTGATCTAGGAAGTCTTGACTTTATGGCAGCCCTGGTTGGGACTCTTCCTCTGTTTTGTGCAGTATTAAGGTTCCTAGAAGTTGAAGATGGCTTTAGTAATTTAATGTTGATAACAGCACTGTTTCTCATCTACTAAATATTAAAATCTGTTTTAAGCCTAAGCTGAATAACTTAGATGGCAATTTTGATCACTTCTTAATATTTAAACTTGTTTCTTTATATGTACTTTTAGGAAATGTGAAATTAATTTGGATTATGCACTACCAAGGAAATCAAGCTTATCATCTGACAGTAATAAAACATTTTGTATGATTGGCCATTGTACATCGTCTCAAGAAGAATTGCTTCGATTGTCGGGTAGATGGGATCTTGGAAATCTGCTTCTATTTAATGGTACTTTTGTATGCTTTTTTCCTTGAATAAGTCTTCATTTCCTCTTCTGCTTCCAAGATCAAAGGCTTAATTTGGTATTTTTTAACATGCCAAGATTTTATAGTAAAAGCAACAATGCGTTTTTTTAGTGTAATACATCGGGGAGAAAGTAGGCGAATGTTACAGCATTTGGTACTTCCTAATGGGGTGTTCTGCTGCTGTGCTCTTGCTTTCTTTTTAGTGACGTAATTGGCAATTTCAGTTACTTCAGTGTTTCTTTACATTACTTTAAATAACACTTTGGGGTAAGGGATGGAGAGATGGTCATAATTGCTGTGTTTGTTTCTTAAAGCACTCAGTCTCTCCCAGCTGGAAAACTGATTTCACCTACCTGCTTCTAAACTACTTGTTTCAAATTAGTTAAAGCATCTTAAAAAGTAAACAAAATCTGAACCACTGAATACTGAGTTAAGCATGCTTATTTCTGAAACTGCTGAAGTTACTTTGGGGTTTTCTTAGATGTGTAACTCTCCTCCCTCCTTGGAAAGTTTTGTCCAGGACCTCTGGGTGTTTCCTTAATGCTGAAGGCTCGAGCCCTGCTGGTCACCCAGCCATGTGCAGTGGCCTGGTCAGGACTGCTACTACACAAGTGAAATCAATTTGCCAGGGTGTGTGCTGTGTGCAGGTGTTGTGTGTGAATATATGGTGTATTTGTGTGGGCCATAGGTGAGATGCTTGTCATAAGTGTAAGCTCTATCTGGTGAATCTACATAGTCTGATTGCTGTATGCTGACAGCCAGCGTAATTGATGTATCCAGAGAGCGCTGGATTTACTGCTATACAGTTGTCATGCACCTGTATATCAGACTTGGGTCCTTCTGGATGGTTCTTTTGAATTTGCATTCTCACAAACAGGTGACCTGAGATGTGCTGTCCAGAAAGGGAAGGGAGGTTCCTTTGGCCTTCTACTTCCTACATGTTTTTTTCCTCCTTGTTAGTTGTAGTGAGCTTTTATTGTTGTTGCATCCTTCTGGGTCACTCCACACAACTCTCCATGATGTAGCATGTTGTTGCTGTCTGTAATCTTGCTATGGTCTGAAAACTTTGGGGAGGCTTGTATAGATGACTTCTTAATTTTAAAAAGTGCAGTTGATTATTCAGAGCTGTTGTTCCTCAGTTCATGCAGAGCATTTTCCTTACTTGGTTTCAGTTGCCTCTGCCACTGAATTGATCAGGCCTGGGATGTGTCAGATGTCACTGATCTACAGTAGTTCATAAGAAGCACTGGACTGTACTAATTGTTTGTCATCAGCAGGTCCTACAAAAACCAGGCGGTGATCTTCCTTGTAAAGTCTCTGATGCAGTCTACTAGCCGATGTATGAATTTTGCTTTATTGTATACTAAAGAGTTAACAGTTTATTTTCTGGATTTTAGGTGCAAAGATTGGACCAGAGGAAGCATTTTACTTATACACGTGTGGGCCAGACTTCACATCTGTAATGCCTTGTAAATATGGCAAAACATCGACTGATTGCTCTAAGTACATAAGTAAAGAGATTCTACAATGTGAACAAATTAAGGAGCTCTTCATGGCAAAAAAGGAAGTGGATGTTGGGCCTTTAATTGTAAGTTACGACTTAAAAATGGTTCTTAAACTCTTAGAACTGATTAAGAAACTGGGAATACATTTTCTATTATCTCCCAAAGTGCTTTACTTTCTCAAAGCAGGCAGGAGCAAATCCTATTCTGATTAAAATCACTGCAGGGTTCTTCCCACTTATTTCAATGGGAGTTGAACTCCACAGAGGGTAGCTGTTTCATCTTGGTGTACTGGATTCTGACAACTTCTATATATTCCAGCATCTATAATACTATATATTTAATCTGTCAGATAAGTAGGCACTTCCAAATGTGCATTAAGTACCTGCCCTAGGAAGAATAGGTAGCTCTTCTCTCCGTTAGTATAAAGGTAGCAAAGGACAGATTAGTTAACCTTTTAACGTTAAAACTGAGAGGAAAAAGGAGGGTTTATCTGGCTTTAACAGGGAGCAAAAAGACTTCATCCCAATTACTTGAGGGTTTTGAGAAGGGAGTAAGTTTGCATCAAGTTCAGCTGAAAAGTTATTTTCCAGCTGGCAGATCTTAGCTTTTCCCATCTTCCCTGAAAACAGTCATGCCAGATGCGGGTGTAGATATAGTTACACTAGAAAAAGAATAAAATACAACTTTATCAGTGGAGCCTGCTATATTTGGGGAATTGGCTGCATGTACTGGTAACTCCTGCTGTATGAATTGTTTCCACTAGTGGAATTTTTCTGATCTCGTTCTACAGCAGCTCTGTAGCTGTAGTCAAAGGGTCATTCTGTCTGGATGTGATCCTTTTAAACAATGGTACTAAATTTTGAATAGGTTAAGAAGGAATGAATGGAATAAGTAAAAAGCCTAACAAATCAGTCATGCAACTTTTAAGCTGTTTTGCCTTACAAAACACCAAGTAACTGAAGAGGAAAAACTATGTGCTCAAGTGATGAATTAATCTCTACACTTTTGCATAGAATGCAAGTATCTTAAATGTAACTATTTCTCTTTTAAACAAGCTCCCAAATATGATCATTTTACATTTTTTTTGGTGAAAATGAGTCCATTACTATCCATAGGAGCTTGGGTTTTGCTCAAAGTCTCTTCCTCAGTAATGAAACTTCTTCTATTGAGATCCTTTTTCTTATGGCAAAGCTGATTAAAGAATTGACAAGTTTTAGGGAAAAAAAATGGGAGATAACTTTCTGGTTTGGACTCTACACTTTAGAAAGGGAAACAATTTGCCCAATACCTCTGCTTATTTTCTTTTAAATTTGTCACTAACTTCGAATGCAAAATAGTTGTAATTCTTCAGGTGATAAGAGGGGGATCCTTGGTAGAATGTCTTAGTGCTTTCCTAACTTTCTGTGCTGTAGCTATTGTAGACATTTGCTAGAATTTAGGAATCCTGATGCGTTTTAGTGGACATGCATCCACATGAAACTTGCATGCTAATAATAAAGTAGAAATGAATTGCCTAAGTTGCTGCTACTTGCTTGTTAGGTGGCTCTTTTGTGTGTGGCTTTTTGCATTTTGCGAGTGGATTTTTTTTTTTGTATTAAACTTTCTTGAAAAATTTTAGCTTATAAACCTCTCGTTTCAGGAGAGTCTTGCTGTTGTTTATACCACATGGTGCCCCGGTCAGTACACCATATATGAACCTGTTATTAGACTGAAAGGTCAAGTGAAAACTGTACCTTCTCAGAGACCTTTCAGTTCAAAAGAAGTTCAGAGCAATGTATTGGACTCTCATCACCTGAAAACACTTCAACCTGTTGAATATAAGACTCTTCAGGGTATACTACATGAAATTGGAGGAACTGGTGCATTTGTTTTCCTCTTTGCTAGGGTAAGGGGGCTGGGGGAGGGGGGGTGCATGTATGTGTTCTCCCATGTAAAATTTTCCTTGGCTCATAAGTAGGAAATAGCATATTCTAGCTGCCTTGCACTAGTCTGCATGTGATTTCTTTATTCTTAAAGACGACTTGTGGAGAACATCTGTGGCATAACACAGACTGCATCATACCAGTTGTCTTAAATTGGAAACTTAATTATAATTCTATTATTTAATGGTTTTTATGACATTGCCAGTATGTAAGATGTGGTGCTACATTCTGATTTAGAGGTAGGGCTTCTAAATGTCAAAAGAGATTATCTTTAGGAGTGCTGTAGAACTGTTTATTTTTGGTTTCTAATTTTTAAAAGCACTTAAATTCATTGCATAGCTTTAACACTTTAAACACAGGATATTCATGATGCAAGCATGTATAAATGTGAAACTACATAGTGTGCAGAGCTTTAATTTTACTTAATAAATAGTGAGAGCTTTTTTGAGACCTGCTCAGCCATGTTCAAAGACTTATCCCGTCTAAGAAAAAAAACGTAATTTCAAAAATATTAAGGCTATAAGCACTAACTTAGTTACTACTTTGCTGTGACCTTTACATGGAGAGGCTAATATTTGTGCTAGATGTCTCTGAAGTACTACAGTTAATTCCAAATACTAATGTAGGCCTAAAACTTGTTTGTTTTGTATGCCTCTCGCAATGGTAATGTTCTGAAAGGTATGTGGAGAGTAACCAATGCACATTTAGACTAGAGACAGTCAGGTGTTCAGACTTCTGGTTATGAAGACACTGCCTGCTGTAATTTTAACATGGATAGTGAAATCTGAGGGGAAAACCCCTATTCATGTTATTGTATTACATAAATTTATGCCAAGTATGTGCTGCAGATCCTGCTGTAGACTCTATTTGCATCAGTAAAGCAAGCAAATAATAGATGAGCTGTCAGATGATACAGGCATACATGTGTATAACTAAGTGCAGCTCTTAACGGGTACATGGCAAAGGAACCTATAGGAACTGAAATTCCATTTATGTGAGATTTCCTTCTTGTATGTTTTCGGTAAAAATACTGTTTTCTCTTGGGATTCAAGAATTGTAGGAAGCAGAGTGAGGAATGGTCCGTGGTCTTCAACTATCAAATTGCTTGTCTCTATGGACAAAACAAAACTTTAATGTTTGATTGGACACTTCCTGGTAGAGATAGCCTAGACCTTCAGGAACCCTACTTTAAAGCTTTCCTTAAACATTTAGGAAACATACTTTTCCAGGGCAATCAACAGAGTTTATTCTTATTAGTGGCATATGTATTTCGTGACCTTGCAAATTTGTAGTATAGCAAGAATAAATTGGTGCCTTCTACCTAAGTTTTATTTAGAACAGATTTTTTTCTTAAAAGGGATTCTTGTAATGGGACTTTTATTTTCGTAGCAGGTCATTTACCGCAGTAGGAATTACCACTTCGACTGTAATATCTGAATGTACACACATCAGCAAAGATGAAGGTTATGTACATAACCTCAAAATCTTTAAGGCAGATTTAATCCAGAAGTTCATGATTTAAGACTGCAACAAAGACTTTTTAAGGCTTTTTTCTAAATGTTTCTAATTTAAGCTGTTTTATGAAACTTGCCTTTTCTTCAGGTTGTAGAGATTAGCAGCTGTGAAGACACTCAAGCTTTAGCACTACAACTTATACTATCTTTAACAAAATACAATCAGCAGAGAATACAGGAGATGGACAATTGTAATGGTTATTCTATGATTCATCGAGTGTTGATCAAACCAAAATGCATTGTTGGATTTTGCATGCTGAAGGTAGAGTGCTCCATAAACCTGATACTTTGTTCAATGTTAGCACAAATTTAGAAACTTCTCTGATTTTAATTCTACACTTGAAGCTGTTTTCACAAAGTCAGAGGAGTGATTTGAGGCATGTTTGGTCTAGGAGTGTTTTGCCTTGAACTAGAAACTCCTGACAGGTTAGAGGAGAAAAAAGCGTTGAAAGACCCTGATTTCAGAGGAGATGGCAATTGGGGTGGGGGGAAGCAGCTTTGTTTTTCTGAGAGCAAAGATCTTCAAGTAAGCCTAAACTTGGAAGCAATTAATAAAAACATTTGAGTGCACTTGAAAATATTTTCAAATTTTTGTACTGGTGTTATAAGAATGAAGCCTCCTAAATGTCTCCAGTGTGGTTACTAAACTCAGTAACTGTTTTCAAGGTTGACCAGGTAGATATATGCCTTCCCTGTCAAGAGTTTGATGTCTTGGTAAAGATTTTTTTTTTTTATAAATTGGATAGGACCACTGTACTGTTTTGTGCTTATGACATTAAAAAAAAAATTTCCCCCTCTTTAAGACTCTCCTTGAAGGATGCTGCAGTGATGAGATTCTCTGTATAAATGAAAATGGGCAATTAATGCTTGACACAGATTCTACTGCAGTTATCCAAGATGTTCAATTGCTAGAAAAGCTACTGCTTGACTGGAAGATATGGTCTAAAGCAAAGGTAATTACTTTTATTTTGGACAGATTTAAAGTCTAAAAGTCAATATTTAAAAAAAACGATAAAGTATTATGAGGTCTGAAATTAATTTCTCCAGTTAGATGTCAGCAATTACTAACATTTTCTAAATTAATGGTCCTTCTTATTCTTTGAATAGCTGATAGTAGCAGCAAGCTCCCGTTATCAATGATGCTGGTTGCCTTAGTGTATTAAATTCTGTAAATGTAATGTATGTAAATGACTTGTTAGTTGAATAGATCAATTTTTTTACAGAAACTTGCTAAGACTGAGGAGGACCTGCTTCCCTCTGGAGTTAAGCTGTTGAAAAGAACCATGCAGTGTTAATATAGCAAAGAGTATACAAAACTAGTTTTAGACAAGAAGTAATTTTTTTCAGCTTAATCATTAAAATATGCTTAATTTTGTATGAGCATAATTTCTCTGATAGTTTCTAGTTCTGACCTGGCCATTTGCAGTCATTTAGTCTTTTTCTTAGTTGCAAAACTAACTTGATTTGGCTATGTTCCTAAACTCGTTTTTTGGGGTTTTTTTATTCTCAGTGTGTAGACTCAGAAATGTATTTTTTTGAAACCATGTTCCTGTTTCATTTTTCTTTTTCAGCAAGGTGTCTGGGAAACTCTGTTAGCAGCTCTAGAAATCCTTATCAGAGCTAACCATCACCAACAGATGTTTAACATTAAACAGCTATTGAAAGCTCAAGTGGTGCATCACTTCCTGTTAACTTGCCAGGTTCTGCAGGTACTTTCTCTCTGAAACCCTACTTTGTGCTTGGCAACTACTCGGTTTTATTTGGAGGGTGGAGGGCCATGGAGGGAGGGAAGAGACTAAATGCTATAGAAAAAAACTACTTCAGTAGGCTGTCCTCTGGGCTTTTGGACCCCTTTCATCTTTTTCAATGGGCATTGTTGCTTGTGAACTAATACAGTTCACTGCTGGGTGCTCTACTTACTGCTGGACAGAAAGGGCAAGAGATTTTAACCGCCTGGTACTATTTGAAAACCTAGGCCCTAGGTTACTTGCACAATCCCCACATGAGTAGGAGCTGAAATGAACTGTGACTTTTTTATAAAGACCTGAGATGTCTCTTACTAGTTGGAGTCTTCGTTGCTGAAGAACACAGATACTGTGCAAGTAGCAGGAAATGCCTCTCCTGGATCTCACCAGAGCTAACAGGGCAACCGGCCTGTAGTGCTCCGTCGGAGTGCTCCTCTCAAAACTTTGATCCACTAGGAGCTTCCTTCATGGCATAGAGATAGCTGTTCTAAAAAGAACTTTGGGGAAGTGCTTCAGCCCTTCGATAGACACTTCTTAAGAGCATGATTTTGAAATGGTTTCCTGCTTATAGTACATATCTGTTTGTGAAAATATGTACTGTAATCTCTTTTATGTACACTGCATAGTCTATCTTGCATTCCTCTTTATTCTGAGTTTCTCACTCTAACACATGAAATGCGTTTATTGTTTTTCCCTCTCCTAATGATTTTTTGTAATGTGTTTTTTAATCAGTTTTATTGCTGTGAGTTTTTAATTTCTTGTTGTATATGTGGCATTCCCTAATTTGGAACTTGTTAGTGGTTTAGTTGACTTTAAAATTGTATATTAATGCAATGCCTAGATACAGAATGTTGCGTAGTATTTTCCCTGTCTCTTGCACATGAATACACACTAATATACATGCCTACTGGGGGGGAAAAAAAGATTTATTAGTTAAAAAAAAAAATACTCAAATTGGCCAACAGTGATTTGGCAATTTTTGGGGAATGGTGGAATAGAAGATAAAACTATGTAAACCATTCTCTTTGAAAATCTCATTTAAATTAACTTCATTTAGTCTTTTCATACAGCAGTTGCGGTTAAGGTGCTTGGGTACCAAAAAAAGGTGAAATTTAGACACGTTAAAAATCACCATGCCCACATTACAGTGAGGTTTCCCACAAGTTTCTTGAAGTCCTGTTCTAACATCAGTGTTCAGTTAATAGTTTTTCAGATAGCCTTTGTCAAACTATATAGAATGCTTGATCAAGCAGAGATTATAAATATAATTATCAATTAAATTTCAAATGTGTATGTTTATAAAAATGGCCATTGAAGTGGAAATGCAGAAGACCCAGTGGCACTGTTCAGAAAGTTCTTAATGTTTGAAATGTTAGTATCAGCAACTATTTTAATTTCTCTACAAATATGTAATACAGTGACAGTAAACTATACTTTCAATGGTGATTCGTGCCCTAAGGCTCCAGCATTTAAGTCAAGTCGTGTAGTATGCAGAAGATGTTAACTTTCTAAAAATAAACTTGCGTAATATCTGCAATATTTTGCTTGTCCCTGAATTTTAAATGTGCTGGATTTGGGTAACATTGAGTAGGTACAGTAGCTCCTCTCAAATTAAAAATACAAACTTAATTACTTAAGCTTTTTTTGTCTGTTCTTCTACTACAGCACAACAATTTCTGTCAAATTAAAAATACAAATAACTTACAGTTGTACTGCTCTTCCTTTCTAGGAGCATAAAGAAGGGCACCTTGCATCCCTGCCTCGGGAAGTTTGCAGGTCATTTGTGAAAATAATTGAAGAAGTACTTGGATCTCCCCCAGACCTCGAATTGCTGACACTGGTCTTCAATTTCCTCTTAGCAGTTCACCCTCCCACTAATACATACGTTTGTCACAATCCTACCAACTTCTACTTTTCCCTGCACATAGGTAGATATGTCACATTTAACTTAGAAATAAACAATAAGATAAAAATCTAGTCATAAATTAATATCTAAAAGACCTTCTTTGACTCTTTATAAATTGCTATTCTATGAATATATTCTTTGATTGCTCTGTTGTAATAACTATATATAAAAAATTATTGAACTGTTGGGACTTAGTAAAGTGACACTAGTTTACGATATTGAGACATTGTAGTTAAACTTTCTTTGGCTTACTTGGAGAGCTTTCTTCTGTCTACAGCCATAGATAAATGCATAACCATCAGAGAGATTAAGTTTCTTTATAGTTCAGTGCTGCTAAATGGAGTGCATGTTTGCTGCCTGTATGGACACATTTGCCTTCAGGCAAATCTCAGATAAAAATGTTTAACTTGCCTATAAATGAATCTTCTTTGGATATATGTGTATATGGTCCTGACTCCATCTCTACTTTCTTGTTTCTTGTTACTAAATTCCTAGAAAAATTAAAGGCCTGTGGAACATTTTTAGCAAATGATCTGTTGCACTGCAAGATGTTATTGGCAGTCACCCTCAGTGCATTGCGTACGAGTTACTGAAACTACCTATGTGCTTTGAGGGGTGCAGATCTAGGACAATATCTGTCTTTAATGTATCTGTACTAGATGATCACTTTGGCAGAATGAGTGATTATGAGCTTTAAAAACCCTTTCTTGATCTTTTGAAAAATTATATAGTGGTAGATGTGTAGTTCATGCTTTAATATCAGCATTGTACAACCTTAGCCATAACTTATGTAAACATGGAAAGCATCATCCAAGTTTGAAATGTTTTCTCCTTTCGGAGATGCCTGTGTACCTCCAGTTTTAATAGTCAGTTTCAAAGGCAGCACCGTTGTTTTTATCTGTATCTGTCCTCTAATACTAAGATGTCAAATTCTGAGTAAGAGTAGAATGCAGTTTTTGACACTTCGATCCTCAGGTGAACCTGTTTGAGAAGAGTCATCTGTTTTTGACATGGGAAAAAGTCAAAGTTGTTATTGCTTGTATGCCTGCAAGGACCATCTTTAAATATAATTACTTTAGAACATCATAATATTTTCCATGTTCTGAAGTAAATTTTAAAGATATATCACTAAAACAAAAAATTGTTCTCAAGTGTTTTTTCTCAGGTGCTCTCAGGTGTGAGCACTTCTCATTAGCCTACAGTGATCAGGCTGAAATGTAACCTGGTTACTATGAGCCTAACTGTATCAAGAATGCTAACTTAAAGCTGTTATGTAACTTTTCCCCTTTTCTTTCTAGATGGCAAAATTTTTCAGGAAAAAGTTGAATCACTTATGTTCCTGAGAAATTCCAGCAGTGGTGGGAAGTCAATAGACAGTTCTGCATTTGTGATTACAACTCCAACTGGATTTACAGCTTTACCACTGGGAGGTAAAACAACGCTGGAAAAACAAGGACATTAAGACACAGTCCTTTTGGCAGACAACTAGTGTACCTTAAAGTGTTACTTTCCCACAGATATTTCTTACAAAGCTCCCCCTGCCTCTTGGAGCTTGATGCCTGAACAGCAGAGTAAGGAGGATTGAACTGAACATGCTACCTAAACTGCTTGTCATTCTCAAGTAGAGACAAATGGCCACACTGGCTGAGGCAGTGAAGTGGACCAGATAGCTGAACAATTTCATTTGTTAAACAGACCTAATGATAATGCCTTATACCAGGCAATAGTTGAAATAGTGATCCACAAGCAGCTATCCTATCCGTGCAAAAAACATTAAGCTGATACTTTTCTTTATTGGTGTGTAATTGTTAACATCCATCTAAATACAGTTATTAAAGTATTGGCATTTAGTTACACTGCAGGTATATATCATGTTCCTACATGACAGAGGATGGGAAGGTCAACAACTTGGATACCTTGGTTATATAAATTAAAATTGAGTAGTTTTCTAGAAACAGTCTCATTATACAGTATACTAAGCAAGTTGAGGTCTACAAAGATAACAGCTTTAATCAGTTTTTAATTTCTCTGCTATAGGTACTGAAATGGCTTGAAGTTATTAGTTCAAGCTGGTAACTTTTCAGTTGGTGTGCTGTCAGTGTGATGGTTTTGTATCGTTATTGAATTAGTTTTTAATGATACTTTTTACACAGATTTGCACAGGCAATCATCAGATACTACCTGTAAAACTAAAACTAAAACATAGCTTACACCTAAGCCTTTATTTAAGCTCATTGACAAGGAGACATAAATTCTAAATAGAAATGCATAATCTAAGCAAGTTTACCAATATATACAAAATAGGAGTGGTAACAAATTACTCCGATCTCAAACTTAGCTGCTCTGTATTTCAGATCGTGTATGACTTAGCTATAGTCTGTGTATCACCAATATAATACCTTTTACAACTGATGTCTTGTTGCTACTTCGCTTAGGAAAAGCAAATTGTGTCTTCAAGCACTACTTCAGTTGAAATAGTGTTAGTTCAAGTGTCTTTTACTAAAAGTAGTGAAATGAAGAGCAAACCACAATACTAAATTGTGTATGAGATTAGTCGTTCTCCCATATGGATTATATATGAAATCTTGTTCTTCTAAACTGAGTACTCTCTTATATCAATTGTACCAAACTGTTGTTCTTGAGTAAAGATTCCTCTGGCACACATGAATAATACTCAACATTTTTTTTTGTGAGAATAGGTGTTTGAGTGTTGTGGTTCTGAATTTGAATTTCTAAATTTAGATAAAATAGTTGAAAGTGTTTGAATTGGATAACTTGCTACCTGCATGTGGATCTGCAATTTGTTGCACTACCTGCTAATGTGTTTGCAAGCTTGGCTGTAAGATTGTTGCAGCTATAGATACTTCCTGTTGTCTGAAGGCCAGCTTGGTCTGGGTATGTTTGCATGTGTGTATATATATATATATATATTTGTTTTATATACATTTCACTTAAAAATTATACCTGATGCATCATCATTGCATTAGTTTTCAAAATACTTCTGAATGAACAAAGTATCCTTTCCCTAAACCAACAGAAAGCTTCCCTTACCAGTCTGGTATACAGACTGCTTTGCCTCTTAAATATCTTTTATGAAAGACTTTGTAATATGCTCTGAAAGTTTGACTGTTTCGGATCAAAATGTGTGCTTAAAAGGAAACCCTGTTAAATAAAACATGTAACGATTTGTTATAAATCTGAAGTACATGTAAAGCCTTAGTGAAAATGGATTGGCAAATAGTATTTCAGTGTCCACTAAAATACGTTGGTAGACTGGATCTCTTACACAAGAGCTTCCACGTAGAGCAACCTGCTGTGTTTGACCCTGCTTTGAGCAAGGAGGTTGGGCTAGGCGATCTCCAGAGGTGCCTTCCACCCTCTGATTCTATGATTCTGCACAAATTCCTGCCGAGGGTTAGTTTAGAGGATCATAATGTAATTCCATAAACTCCAGGGATTTCTTGCATTTTATGTGTCTTTCAGATTTGTTTGTGACTTGCTAAATATATGGCTGCATAATAATTCACTATCTCTACTTCATCGGCCAAATGTGAGCTGTGCCAAGTATTGAATCAGTTTTGCCACATAAAATTAGCTTGGGCTGTCACTGTGTTAAATATATGTGGAGTGTAGCATTGAGGGAAAAGCTTGTTTCTAATGCTAAAGATATCCTTATTTCTCTAGGGAACACTTCCAAGGCTAGTGTACAGCAGAAGACAAGCTCTCAGGTACCTAAAAGGCTTTGCAAAAGTTTACCAGCATCTCCTACTTCCTCACCTCAAGTTCATCGAAAAAGACTAACTGAAAGAATGGGAAGGAGCATCGATGACCTGCAGATTATTGGCAAGCATGACTACATTGATCTCCAGAGTAAAACTGATTTTGTAGGAAGCTCTGAAACCGTAAAGAGAGTACAAGAAGAACTCTTTCTTAGCAGTTGTGAGTCTGCAAAAACAGTTTGTGACTCAGAGTTAACATCTGCCGAAACATTTGAAGATCTTGCAAAAGAAGAAGAGCTACCTGAAAATGCATTTGAGAGTAAAGAAGCAGATACAGACCTGAAATGTAATGAAGGTGGTGGTGCTGCAGCTGAGCTGTCGCTACGTCGTCCAGACAATCTGAAAGGACTGCCTTCATTTCAGAAGAGTCAGAGTAATTTTGCAGGGTTGGGCTTAGCATTTTCCGTTCATGGAGGATCATCGGCCATTGCTCGCTGGCCAAGCTTTGCTGACAAGAAGGTACTTCCTGAAGACTGGGAGAGTCTCACTTTTTCTTCAGCTAATGAGAATACCCAAAAACCATCTGACAGCCCTGATGACAGGTAAGCATATAAAATAATAAATTAGCAGTTCAGTAGATGAGCTTTAATTTCAGTTCTTAGTCTTCATTACTATTCTACAAAAACTGGAAGCCTGAAAATTAAGGGAATGTTTTCAATGGCTGTCATAAACCAATTCATTAAGCTCTTAGTCCATATAATTCTGTTGTTTCAATTTTTGGATTATTTACATAGCAAAGTTTAAAAATCGAGAGTTTTGCTATCTGCAGTAGGAGTGTGAACTTGTTATGCTAGTTCACAAAAAAATCTCAGCAAGTAGTTCTGGTCAAATTATCCTTTTTGCTATCTGCCATCCAAAAATAAGCATTAATGAAGAGTGGTAGTAGGAGTATTGGAGAAATGTTTGCCAGATTTCCTCCTCCTCCCCTGCCCCGCAGAAATAGCTTACAATTATGCATTTTTTTAATGTTTCCAGTTGTAGACAAACTGTGGTAAAACATACTCCTATGTTTTCAGGTGTACAGAAGACTGTCTTGTGCTTATCTGTTGTGGATTATATGACCTCTTGCGTGGAGTTCTCTTAATCTTACCAGATATCATGCTAGAAGATGTGATGGACAAACTTATCCAACCTGACTATCTTATAGTTCTTGTGAACCACCCATCTCCTCTCATACAACAAGGAGTCATTAAAGTAGGCCTATATAAAATGTTTTCATCTAAAAAGTTGTGAACTAGCATAGTTAATATTTTGGAAACATGAAATTCTGTTAATATTTTTTTATTTTGCTTTCTTCAGTTTTCTAGGTTTACTGCAGAGTTTTACGATAGATTTCCACCCACACAGATTAAAACAAACAAACAACAAACAAAACAAAAATACAACAAAACAAAAACCACAACACAAATGTAGAAACTTCAATAGATAAATATAGTCTATGATCTAAGCCAGAGAGTTTAGGAGCATATGACAGAATTACTGATGTAAATGGAAGCAACAATGCAGGAAAGAGTCAGTGACCACCTCTTCAACATTAAACACACAATGCACTATCTTAAATTAAGGTGCAAGCAAAGTTTTGACTTCTAACATGGTTCACTTTCAGTTATTCTGAGGAGTCATTCACACATTTGTGGCCTGAACATGGACTTGAGGCTTCAAAATCATTTTCAGATATGTTTTTGTAGTATTGACAAGGACATGTTCCTGGATGATAACATCATGTAGATGGAAAAACTTCAAATTAAAATACAAATCTATTCAAAGAAGAAAAAGATTGTATTGCTTTATTAACGAAATGATCCAGAAAAATCGTGCATGCACTTGCAGACACACCAATGTGCAGGATTTAACAAGCATAAAAAGTTTGATTGTATTTACGTATGCATTCTGTAACTGTAGCGTGTGATTTCATCTCCCCCAAAGTTGACTAAAAACCTAAGAGTCTTCAGATAGAAAAGTCAGCTGTCAATTGTAACAAGGTCGGTGTAGATTGCGGTTGCAATAGTGCAATCGATGTTTGTAATTAGGAATTTTAAAAAATTTTGTTTTCAAACTGCTCGAATCAGACAACAGCTTTCACTTTCAAGGGAGTTGTAAGATTCAATCATTTAATGTATTGTAATTATGCATTTATTTTCAGTTGTTGGATGCATATTTCAACAGAGCAAGGAGGGAGCAGAAGGAGAAATTCTTAAAGAATCGTGGCTTCTCCTTGCTAGCCAACCAGTTGTACCTTCACCAGGGGACTCAGGAAGTTGTAGAGTGCTTTTTGGAAATGCTCTTTGGCCGATCTGTTGGATTGGATGAAGAGTAAGTAATGCTTTGCTTTTGCATCCTGTCACTTAATATTTGAACTGCAACCAGTGCACTTTGCTGGAGGCAAGGATGTGATAGCTTTCTAATTGCTATTCTCTTCCTAGCGGTCAACAACCACAAAAAAACAGTTCCTTCAGAACTGTTTTGCTTGTAGCTTTAACATTTAAATGTATGAAACTTCTCATGAGTACTGTATGGCCCTTAAGGTGTTTGTAAGCAATTTCATCAGGTGGGTGCTGTCAGCTGGGATCTTCTAAACCCTCTGAGGCCCTCAGAAGGCCTGAGGCCTTTGTACTTCGAATAGCCTGTAGTTAGTTTAACTCTTCATTTTCTTTCCGTTCCTACATAAAACTCTAATTTAGATACTTAGAAATTTTTAATAGTCAGTAGATCTCTGCTACCAGATTTTGGTAGGCGATAAAGGAAAAAGCTTGATGTTACAGCTGCTTCCTTGGCTTGGCCCTGAGTTTAAATTGCTATTTCTTTTAGAGAAAATCCCATAGATAAACTGTTTCTTGAAACAGAGCCACCTCATTGACAGGAAAGGACGTTTAAGCAGACAATTATCTAAGTAAATGATATTTTTTAGAATTAGTCTGACTACTTAGTGGTTATACAGGGAGACCATGCATCTAAGTATAGTCAGCAGTGCAAGAAATGTGCAAAAAGCTTCTTCCCTGCTCCCTCTGCAGGATTTGTAGCCAAATTACTTCTTGCCTGTTGACCTGTTCACCCCTAAAAAAAAACCAAACCCTGTTTAACTGCAAGACTTAAACCTGGCTGCTTAACTAGCCCCAAAGCAGAGAACTGTTATTTCCTCAAGATTGATTATGGGGCTGGAAAGGTAACTCAAATGTCTTGGGTTTTTAGGATTGTGTATAAAAGTCATGTGATGGACTGATAACCTTAGAATAGTAATCCAGTTTCTTAATGCTGAAGTAATACAAAGTCTGAAGCACTGTTCCAAGTACTACAATTGCAGTAAGCCAGAAGTTGCCAAACTTATATCCATTGTTGCTGGAGTTTAATTAGGATATCATACCTGCTGTCAGTCAGTTTATTATTGTATTGATGCCAAGCAGTATCTCTTCTTGATAGTGTCTGTGCCAGTTGTAATACTTATTACTGGAAAGATCATGCATCATATTTTTCTACACAGATTAAAAAACCCCCTCTGTCATGAAATCTATATTGTAGACAGTTGATAGCTGAAGCTTCAGATACACTTTTTAGCCACTTCATTTCCTTGTGGGTCTCTGAAGCGTTTATTTTGCTTTTCTTTTCTGTAGTAGACAGGCATTGTTACTGGAATGAAATGTAGGTAATTGCAATCTACATCTTTGCCAAAATACTGGTATAGACTGGTATTCCAGTTGCATATATTAGCTGCATATACCAGGTTGCTATTTTAAGGATGTCACTCACTTATATTTATGTTAATAGATTTGATCTTGAAGATGTCAAGAATGTTGGACTCTTTCAAAAATGGTGTATCATTCCTGTTCTGGGTCTTATAGAGAACTCTCTGTACGATAATGTTCTGCTGCATAACTGCTTCTGTCTCTTGCTGCAAATCATAAATTCCTGCTCAAAAGTTGCAGACCTGCTGCTTGATAATGGTTTGCTGTACGTGTTGTGTAATACACTGGCTGCTCTCAATGGACTGGAAACAAAGTGAGTATTGTATCAGTTGCTATAAAATAGTCCAGGCACAGCCTCAAGTCTAGCAAAAATTACTGTATTGTATTTGTTCTACTTTCTAAAATGATCAGGGAGCATGTACAAAATAATACTGTTTTTGAGGTTTTCAGCTTTAATTATACCTGTAAGTGAAAATAAACGTTTAGATACTCAGTTCAAACAAAGGAATATAAAATGTTCTTTCCATACCTTAAATTCAAAGTGAAACGATATTTTAAAATGCAGGTTTGTCACACTGTGTGCACTTTGGATGCTTTTCCTAACAAAACTCACCTGAACAGTAAGATAAAGGCCCGGGAGATGGTAGCATTCTACTGTATCTATAGCCAATGCCAAAACTGCAGGAAAAATCTCTCCTGTGCTGGCTGTGACTTAATATTTGAGATTTTCAATAACTTAAATGACTTTAAAGTACAGAATGTTTGTAATTAAGAAAGGTTATACAATGAAGGTAGGAGAGGTAGGGTTCTGTTATTTTATTTCATTAGTTGTTATCCTGAAGAAATAGACATGTTTCCTTTTTACCCCGGTATAGTTTTAGTTCAGCGTAGTTACAAGATGAGATATTATCATGAATTTTTTTGAGAAATACGGGATTTCAGACCTGTTCTTTAGCTCAGAAATCTGATAATAATACATCACTGCTTTTCCAATAAAACTTTATTACAATTTTAATGTTAGAATGTCTCAAAGATTTGCGGGCATCCAATCTGCCAAAGTTAACACCAAAAGAGAGGTGTCTTGTATTACAATTCTCTAGCCTTCAGCAGTAACATTTTTTTATATGAAGTACAATATAATATTGGGTACGGTTGGCAGAAGTAGCAAGGGGTATAGTAATGGGTCTTGTTATGGGTTACAATCTACTAGAATTGTCACATTTCTGGTAACTATAACTTTGTTTGCAGCATTCCCTTGAACGATTACAAATTACTTGCATGCGATATACAACAGCTGCTGGTAGCAGTTGCAATTCATGCGTGCAGCTCCTCAGGTTCTCAGTATTTTCGTGTTATTGAAGACCTCATTGTGCTGCTGGGTCATCTTCAAAATAGTAAAAATGCAAAGATGCAAAGTAAGTTATCTGCTTATTTTTGGGGTCATGGGACTTCAGAAGTAAATACCTTCCCTGTTGATTTTTTGTTTAATATCATTGCTGAGGAAGAAGGGGGACTCATCTGGTGATGGATCTTCTTTCTCTTCTAAGTGGTTCTCAAGGTAGTAGTTTTCCCCAGGAGCCTGCCTTGTGGTAAAGAATTGTGTACTGCTAATCTGAAAAAAGCAGTGACTGTAAAAGTTCATTAAGAGTATTTAAATGGAAATGTTCTATACAGTTTCATTTAGCTTATTTCAGAGTAATAAAATTCAGTGGCTCTTCTATGAGAACTCACTTCTGTACTGTCTGTCTGGAATAATGAGGTGACTTTCTGTGTGACTTCTGTAGAATCGAGAGTTTTGCAGCTCTTGACACATTTTGTTGTGGTGTTATACTTTTTGCAAACAACTGGTAAAAATTCTTGAAGACGTGTAAAGAATGTCATGTGTCCTTTGTATGCCTCTCTGTAGACATGGCAGTTGTTCTGCAGTTAAGAGTTCTTCAAGCAGCTATTGAATCAATAAAAACTACAGCAAACCAAGATGCTCAAGAGCAGGCCGGTTCACTCCCATCACCATCTGCCCCACATCATGCGATGTTTCAGAAGCGTAAAGGCATTGCTGGTGAGTAGAAAAGTGTAGTACTCTTGTACTTTCTCCTGTATGTATTACTTTCAAACACTAATTTCAGTGATACAACAAATGAGTCCTGTTGCTTTGTTTTTTCTGTGGATTGGCTTTGTAAATCAATAGATGTATTGTAGAATAATGTAGCCTGTACCCATTTTGACCTTGTAGGGGTTTTGTGTTAGGAGGGAGTGGGATATGTAAATGAAACCTCAGTCACCTCATTTTCACTGCAGTGTTTAAAGCCAGATATTACCTTCTTTTGGGATTCTTTTCAATTCATAAGTTGCTTAGTAAAGAGGTTTTAAAAGTAATTCATTGTGGTTTTAATAGCCAACTTCACAGTAAGGAAATACCAAAATAAAGTTAGTGCCTGTGACTTTAACACTGCTGTGATGTGGGAATTGCATTGTTGCACAACTTTTAGTGATCATCCTGAAGTAAATACCTGTCACTCCAGTAGTTGGGAATGCGGGATTCCTAGATTCTACTGTGTGGCTCTGCTTGTAAAATGATTGTCCAGTCCTAGCTTTAGCAGTAATACTGTCTCTGTATTTGGTAGCTTGTGAATCATTCTGTAAAGGTTTCAGAGTCTTCTGGCTGGAAATAGATTTTGTATATCTCTCATAAATGAAACTGCATTTAAGACTTTGTAGAAGATAACATTTTAAAACCTGACATGTGTTTGAGTGGTTTAAAAAAAAAAATCAAAACAAACCACTGTTACTCCCTGTTTTCTATGAGAATGCTTCTCTTGATATGGTCAGCTTTCGAGGCCCATCTCCATCAGCCTAGTACATGTAGTGAAAATATTTTTATATTGGTGAATCTGGTAAGGCACAAAAGGTAAATAAAAAAATATAGTTATTTCCAAAAGAAGCAAGTACAGTCAAGGCCCACCAGTTCATTTTAATCAAATTTTACAGAATATAAGGTCAAAATAGTACTTTTATCAAAATTAGTAGCAATGGGTATGGTACAAAATGTGTGTGTTTAAACTGTTAATATAACTGACTTCTCATTTGTGCTGATAAAGCCAGTTTCTGATATGCAATAATTTTTGTTGTATCATTAATTTTTAATCCTTTAAAAACAGGAATAAAAGTAACATTTTTAGAATCTGCTTTAAACAAAAATACGCAAGCCGCACAATAAATCTGATCTTGAGACTAACTCATTTCATGGTATCACTTTTTGAATTTTATATATTTATTTTCAAATAGAAAAACTTTTAAGACACCCAAATGATGCTTGTGTCCCCTTAAATATTATGTATTTCAAGTTTTTGGTTTCCTTAAATGATGTGAACTCTTTGGATGAAAGCAGTTGTGGATTGATTAATTTTTTGTGCACTTTAGTACAATGCTATTAATGCTTCTCTACTTAAAGGCTCCAGAAAGTTTTCACTTGCTCAGTCTGATGCTCTGCTGATGAAAATGCGTTCACTAGCCAGTGAGGAATTCAACATGATGATGCAGCGGAGAATGAGCCAAGAAAATCCTATCCAAGCCACTGAGACTGAGTTTGTACAAAGGTTACAGAGGCTAACTGTTCTAGCTGTTAACAGGCTCATTTATTTAGGTAGGATTTCTTTCTGTTAATTCCTGTTTTGACAGAGCCAGTGTAGTGCTGTATGAAAAATGGCTTCTTGCCTTTGGAGTGTTGAAGTGTTTGAGAGGGAAGTAATGCCATTGGTGCTAGTTTAATGGATTTAACCATAAAACATCATTCTCTCAGTGATTTGTCTTACGGTATTATGTGACTGACAATCTGGATACAGCTTTTATCTGAATGAACTAAACAAGTTATCTTAATTCTACATTAGTCCATTCATGTGTTAACTGCCTGAATTATTACCTGAAGATTTAACTCTGCCAAAGGGAGCATCTGCTCTCTTAAACTGCATCAGTTTGCCTGTTTCTATGAAATAGCTACATTTATTACCAAGATTCAATGACTTTGAGGGCTAGTTCAAATTCCACAGAAGCAAGAGAAAGAATTTAGCATGTGGGACAAATAATTGAATGGCTCTGTGATTAACTGTAAATGCTGAATAAATTGGTTCATAAGGCAATTGATAAGGACTACTTTTTTATATTTAAAACTTTTTAAAGTATAGTAGTAAAGGCAATATTTGATTTAATGCCAACTAAAAGATCATAGGATTGTCTTGCTTGAGATGCTATGATCAATATATACCTTTTAAATTTCCAGCATCTACTGAAGAGTGCCTTGATATACTGGGTATAACAGAAACCACAAGTCAAAGCAGGCTTTCGGCATCCCAGCTGGAAGTTCCTGAAGAGGAAAGCCAGCAAGAACTGCCTAGCAGAACAAATCCTTTTCTTAAAGAAATGATCAAAATGTTGGTGGAAGGAATCAAAGTATCCCTTGTAAGTAATAGATGTTGTCACCATTAATTATATTTCTTAAGGTTCCTTTATTAGGAACTTTTTATGCATACAGTTTTCTGTCCCTAAATGCTTTTCTTACTGCCTCTGTCAAATCAGCTGTGACATTAAAAACTCTGTTTGGCTTCTCAATTATTCTGCAGTTGTAAAATAATAAATGCATCTGTTCTGATTGTTACTCTAACATTTAGCAAAATTCTGCTTCTTTAACAAGCACACAAAGGTTAAATAGACTTCCGTGTAGTCCATAATTTTGCTTTGTCTCCTAAACCTCAAGGACTAGGTTTGCTGGAGCCTGCTGTGCACCCACGTATAATACAGAATTTCCGAGCAATTTGTGTCTAATATATTTTAGAGTTGGTGATGTAACTGAGAGGAAGGGGAGCTTTTTTCCAATTGTTGCCAAGGGGCTGAGAGTTTTCAAAAAACCCCTTTGATTTTCTTAAACCCTCTACCTCACAATTTTCACTTTTTGGATTGTTGTATAGTCCCTCTAACTGAATATTCAGTTTATCTAGGAGTTGCATTCCTAATATTGACAGATTGAGAAAAATGCTTATTTTATTAGAATGAACAAACCCTTGTTTCATTTTTAGTAGAATGCCTTTTAACCAGTAATAATAATCAGTAAACTAAACACTTATTTTCATAAATAAATCCTACATTTTGATCATATTAATTGTGTTTGTTTTTTGATGTGGAAAAGTTGGTAAAAGGAAGCCCTAGCCCTGTAACATTAAAAGTGTCTCTTCTACTTAGGGCACCAGCAGAATGAACACACCGAAGCAGCAGTGGAAGAGAATCCTCTTGTCATGTAAGGACACGTTCCGTACGCAACTTGGGAGGCTTCTTGTGCACAACTTGTCTCCAACAAGGCCACTGCAAGAGAGAAAGCAGGCTTTGGAGATGGTACATGAAGTAAACCATCAAGAGATAATGCGTGACTGTCTTAGCACAACTTTGCAAGTAAGCTCAAGAGTGTTTGAGAGAAAATTGTAAAACCTGTATTCAATTTTCTTGTTTAAATTTTATAATTATTTAGAAATGTATGTGGATAAAGTTGTTCACTGCTGTTTTAGCAATGTTTAGTGTCATGACAAAGTCATGTCATACAAAGTGCCTGTCTGTACTTCTGCCATTGCTATATTATCCTGAGGGTAGATAGTTTTGTAAGAGGTAAGATAGGATTATGTCTGGGTATGTTGGCCCTGTAGCACATCAAACATCACATCTCCCATATAGTGCAGAAACAAAAAGCGGTACTAGTTATAACATGAACTTCCAGCATTCTCAGCAAAATTCTTCAGGTACCCTGAAAAGCAGGCTAATGAAGGAAGTACCATTGCCTTGGAACTCTAATTGCAGACTTCCTGAAACTTGTAAGAACTGACTGCGGTTAGATTTTGAGGCAGTCAGTCCTCAACCAAAGCAGTACTCTTTTCTTATTTAGCCTTTATTAATTCTTAAAGTGGGATTGTGTATTCTATGTTCTTAACTCAAATAGCTGAACAGTTTCTCCCTGCTTTTCTGGGTTTGTCAGGAAAAAGCTTTTGTACTCTATGTTAGTGCAAGCTTGAGAGAAAGCACTTCTTAAAGCCATGATCAGGAACTGGGTAGGCATGTTGCTGTTTGAGATCTTCAGGAACTGCAAGAGTGAAATAAATGATGTAAGACATGCCACAGTCTGAGTCACTGTATACTAAGGAGAGAAAGTACTTACTGGATGAACCCATAACACTTACACATTTCTGATCATGTATACTTTATTCAATTAAATTAATACTTTCACCTGTAAGAAGACAGCTGATGTACTAGCGATAGCTTCCTTGGGGAGTGTCATGTTGTGTGCACTTATGGTCGGTGTCTGCTTAATTTCATTATCTGTCAGCTCTCATTTGATTAATCAAACAAGGTGTAGCATTCTTAACAGGCAGAATTAGGAGTCTGTGGCACATATTTCCTTAAGTATAAACAAGGCTGCAGGAGCTGGGTACTTGGAAAAGAAACCTAGCTTTTCTGTAAGCCATTTGAAAAGTCACAAGATGCTGGCGAAGTTTTGTCATGTGGAGGATTAAATTCAGCATGTTCTTTCTAGTTTTATAAAAGTTTGTTTTCAAACATTAAAGCAGTTGTTTTCTTTAAATCACAGACAAAAATAGTAGGAGAAATCTGTCCAGGCTGACTACAAAAGGGAATGAAGTTGGAGGAAAAAACTGCTCAGTATTGTATTGTGGAAATGAAAATGACTATGCATCTTTTTTTCTCCTCCTCTTGCCTTTTCATCTTCTAGCATGGACCTAAATTAGTGCTCTATTTATACGAATTAATGTACAATCACAGTGATGAAATGACCAAAGAACAACAAAAAGCAGCAGGAGACTTTGTGAATACATTAAAATGTTGTGGCTATAAATGCATTCCCCTGAGCCCACGACCAAAACCAGATCTAATAAAAGCTTTGAAAGAGGTTTGTAAATAAAAACTTTACTTCAAAGAGTGGGTATATTTGAGACAATTGTCTGTTATATGGGGTCAGAGTTTTACTGCAGATAGTGGTTTTGTTTGTTTGGTGCATGGGTTATGCGTTTGGGGATTTTCTTTGGGTTATGAATATTTGTCACATACTCAGCGCTTCACAGCAAGTTCACACAAGTTCTTGGTTGAGCATATTACTTAATGCAGGCAAAGGTGACCATGCATAATAAGCTACTAGTATCTCTCATTGACAGGAGAAAAAATTGTTTCCTTGAAAAAAAAAAATTAAATCTAAATATAATAAAACTGGAGTAATTGAAATGAAGTCTTGATAGTGTTAAGTGCTGTGAAGATATCAGTTGAACAGTTTTGTCAGTCTTCTTTTTTTAAATTGGAATATCCTTTAGCCTCTGCTGCCTTTTGTCCATCTGTGTGTGGGGGGGAAAAAGTAATGTGTAAAACTTCCATTCAGGATCAGAAGAAATATGAGATGGAAGAAGGTGTAAACAAAGCTGCTTGGGAGAAGACAATGGCTAATAATCGGCAAAAGTAAGTGCTGCCTTAAGGGGGCTGCAAGAACTCTGTAAGAATGTTCTCTGTTCAGTACACCCCATTGCAAAGTTGCCTTATATGATTATTACAGATGTTTTTTCAAATTAACAGTACTGCTAGCATTCAGGTTTTTATTTTACAATTATAAAAATAGCTTGATTGTAGGTGTATGCATTTTGATAGGTTGTATAATAAATGGCATTGTATGAACTTCAGAATACTGAATCATTTTTTGCACATTTGGCATTTCACCCTTGGTTTTACAGCTGTTATATCTGTCCAATCACCTCTCATGTTGCTGTGGTCTGTGCAATTAAATGTAAGGCAAAAAAGTCCCTGCAACTAACCCTGATCTTCAATGAATAAAATATCATTATATTCAGCATAGTATTAGAACACTTTTGTGAGCTACATACTGCTGCTACTTGGCATAATGTAAATTTGGCTAGCTTGTGGTAGATTAAGAGGTTTTTTCTGTTATTTTACATTTCAGTCTTTGACATAGAAATCAGATCTGAGATGCACACCCAACGAGCTTCAAGCTTCAACGTAGGCAACTGTAGTAGCTGTAAAGGTCAGCTTAGTCAAGTCTGTCTAGATAAGTGATAAGACTTTACTATGTTGAATAACTTAAGAGATTTGAGCAGTGGTAAATTACTTTTCTTCAGAATGTTATTGCAATGAGTATATGTTTAGTAAAGCATGCTAACGTATAGCCATTGATCTTCGGATTGGCTTGTCTCGTCTTTGTCCACAAGGAATAGCTTTTTTGAAGGCTAAGAAGCAGAAGTTATTCATGAGCCTCGTGAAGACTGTAGGCTACGTTGCTCTGCATCTGCTGTAACAAGAACTATGGATACCTACTGCCAAACTGATTGTATTTTATAAGGGTTTTTGGTGTCTTGCCTTCCCTTTTTTCAGTGTGTTTATTTGACACTTTAAAACTTTTTTTCCTCAGTCTCTTTCAACGTCTGGATACAAAATCTAAAGACATTTCTAAAATAGCTGGAGACATCACACAAGCTGTGTCTCTGTCACAAGGAATGGAAAGAAAGAAAGTAATCCAGCACATCAGGGGCATGTACAAGGCGGAGCTTAGTGCCAGCAGACATTGGCAGGAACTTGTTCAGCAGCTTACCCATGATCGGTAAGTTGTTCTCTCATCTCAGTGAAAAAGCAAGAGAGACTCAATGACTGATGTGTGCTTCTCATTCCACTTAGAGGCCCATGAAATGTAGATGATATTAAAATTAGAATTATTTACTTCTGCTAATCATCTGATGGTTAAAGTCTTGTAAAATACTTGGTTTATTCTCCTACTTTTTAGGGTGAGTAGCCAAGTAGTATTTCTATGCCATTTAGACAGGTTTTTTTGTCAGATATATTTTGCTGTGCCTAATAGAATGAAGAATGTCAAAAATGTTTTCATATCTTCCATTACCTTAATGGAGTGAAAAAACACTTTTTGGGTAATGTTATTCACATTAGCCTCCAGATACTGTGTTCCCTAATCTGCATAGAGCAGAAGATGTTAAGTCTTGACAAGAAACCAAACAATGCTGTTTTTACCACTGTAGAATTAGTATTATGTCATGTTTGCGGCAGCTGAGTTTTCAAAATATTAGATGCAATGTATTGCTGTTTTCATCAGAATTAGTAACTTCAAGAGCAATCTTGAAGTTATGAGTGTTGCTCATAAGTAGTCAGTCAGTGGGATAGATAGCTCATTAAAATAAACTACAGAATTCAGTCTTTTGATACTTTTTCAGAAATAATTGCCCAGTGTACTAATGTGAAACTTCTGCCTTTCTACTATTTAAAGAAAACCAAAATGAATAAGTGTATATATTGCCTCTGCTGCCAAACTCAAACGTGTGTTTTTTTCAGAGCACTCTGGTATGACCCAGTCTATTACCCAACTTCTTGGCAACTGGATCCAACAGAGGGCCCAAACAGAGAAAGGCGCCGCTTGCAGAGGTGCTATCTAACTATTCCAAACAAGTACCTTCTCCCAGATAGGCAGAAACAGGAAGGTAATTATAACACCTTCTAGGAGTATATCTGAATTGTAATGACTGCTAGTGCCTTATTTGTGGTTTTTTTTTATAGGTGTGATAAAAACTCCGTTATCTTATTTATTTGAAGACAAAACGCATTCTTCTCATTCTTCTACTGTAAAGGACAAAGCTGCAAGTGAACATATAAGGTAAGGTTTGGGTGACATTTACCTCTTTCCCACCTTCTCCCATTCCAAAGAAATAGTTCTCCTCACTTTTTTGTCTAAGCAAACATTTAAAAAAAAAAAATCAAGTGAGATAAGAGATGAATGTTGAAAATGGTAGGCTTTTTGCTATACTCACAAGCAAAAGATCGGAGCTACCAACATGTACATTTTCTCAGTCTTAAGACAGTCTATCTCCATGACTTCAAAAATCAGTGAAAGCAAATACCATCTGGTGTGATATGGGGATGGGACTTCTATGGGATAACCTGATGGGATTTCTTTGCTTATTTGTCACGTAGATATCTAAAACAAGCAATGCTACTAGATCTGGTAGGTCTTTATTAATGCTCAAGATTAATAAAGTATTTTATCCTCTCTGCTCTTACCATTGTGTTACTCAACTCTGCAGTTGTGTCAATTTACCACCTATTACAGGTACTAATACTGCCTAAAATGACTGCAGAGAATGCACAAAGAAATAAATACAAATACACTAATGTGCAAGTCTAGAAAGTTGAGGTTCTGTTTTCTTGCCCTCCTTGGGATTTGAACCATTAGAGTCATGGTGTTGAAAAGTTTTGCTTCAACTGTAGCCTTTGAGGCTGGTAGTCCTAGGTATGTGCTGAAAGGTACATAAATCCATAAGCAATAATACACTTTGAAATATTTCAGAGTGAATCGAAGATGTATAAGCGTAGCACCTTCTAGAGAGACTGCTGGTGAACTGTTGCTAGGTAAGTAGAATTATCTTTGTTTTGTATAAGCTTCTGCTGTATATATGAACTTGGCTGATTTTTTTTAAGTAATTGAGCTGTTGCCTGATGACTTACAGATTATATACTTTCTATAATTCTTCCCTACTGTTTGTATGAGTGCTATTTGGACTGCAGTTAAGTTATTAAGTTGCAGACCACTCGCTAAAAGATGTGGAATGATAAATTGTATTTCTATCAAGTACTGTCTTGCCCAGGTACTATTCATAGTATTCTTAACTCCTGGACACTTTTTATATATCACTAAGATGCATTATACAAATAGTAATAACATGGACCTTTTTGCAACTATTTTTCCTTCAGGAAAATGTGGCATGTATTTTGTTGAAGACAATGCTTCAGACACAATTGAAAATTCGGTAAGTATGAGAGCATATTGTCCAGCTTTAACTTTTCCAGACTATGACCATGAGTAGCTTTTGTCTGCTGCCACTGAGATTGCTGGAGTACTAGAGTTAGAGGTCTGTGGACAAGGCCAGCAAAACTGATTAGTTTGGGTTCAGTGTTGCTTTTGTTGCCCCTGGCTGTGGAGTCAGTGGTGATAGCAAAAAAACAGGAATGATGTTGGCCTGGGGGTGGGACAGAACGAGGAGGGGGTGATGTGGGGAGGCTTCTGCACCTTGCTGTCCATTGCTCTGAGTTCATCAGTATTAAGTGTGCAGAGCTTGCTTTGGTCTGCACCTGAGATAATTTGCCTTACTGGAAATTGGAGTGCTAGGAAGTACAGAAACTCACATGTGTATGAATTGTGCTGTTCTCTACAGCATTTGATTCTTGAATTTTTCGTTATATAGGATGTTCTAGCTCCCCCCTTATTCTACACAAGAGAGGACTGTTTCATGGAGGAAACTGCAACTGACCTAATCCTTCTAATATACAAAGGCTCTGATGTATTATTTAAGTTTATACATCCAACAGACTTTAAAAAAAAAAAATCAAGATATGGGTTATACTGCTGAAAGTTTTAAACTGTTTTCAGGGAGCTCTTCCTTGCATCCATGAAGCACACAGCTTCTGTGGTTTAAGATCTTGCCAGCTGTTTTGCTGCTTTGTCCTTCACAAAACTATCAGAATTAAGATTCATGGCAAAGCTTTGCTTGCTGTGATTGGCTGTCCAATATTTTAGCTTAAGAGCTAAAGTGAAAGTATGGCATAATGCTAGGGTTGGATAGGGAACTGGAGCAGTTGAGGAGCATGCGTGTTGTTCAGCCCACCGCCTTGAGGAGAGCAAAGGATGGGAAACGTGTGTGAAGAAAATCACAACAATGTCTTTAAAGCATCACAGCAAAATTGAAAGTTTGCCTTACAATATGCTGTATGGTTATAAACTGGCTGCATTGAAGGGTTTCTTGTTTGGAAAATCTACTAGTTAAAATAATTTTTCAATTGCAAATTCTGCAGAGTTTTCATGGAGAAACTGAACCAGCGTCATTTTCTTGGACCTATGAGGAAATTAAGGAAGTTCATAAGCGCTGGTGGCAGTTAAGAGACAATGCTGTGGAAATATTTCTAACAAATGGCAGAACTTTGCTCTTGGCTTTTGATAATACAAAGGTAATGTGGCACCTATATGTAATAGTATATCAAAGTCTTTTGCTGTGTCTTCATAACATGTGGATTCACGCATTAGTTCTTAAGAAGACCTGTTGCATGGGCTAATTAAATTCTGCCTAATACCTTTGAACGAACTTTGCTCAGCTGGACATCTAGACAAACACGATCATGTTGTAAAGCACATCTCTGATGTATTAAGATATTAAAGAACCTTAGTAATACTACACATTATTCTATTACAGCAGATATCTGGAAATTTGTAAAATGAGAGAAACTTACTAAGTCTTGGTAGTTTTAAGCTTTTTTTTAATTATATGATTAAATCTATGGTGTTTTCTTCTAGGTCCGTGATGATGTGTACCACAACATCTTAACTAACAATTTGCCTAACCTTTTGGAATATGGAAACATTACTGCCTTGACCCACCTGTGGTGCACAGGACAGATTACTAACTTTGAATATCTGACTCATTTAAACAAACATGCGGGCCGTTCCTTCAATGATCTCATGCAATATCCAGTATTTCCTTTTATACTTTCTGACTACACCAATGAAACGCTGGACCTAAATGATCCATCGGTATATAGGTAATATGAAATGTTTGGAACTGGTTATTTCCAAATACTTGAACTGATCATCCAGTATAGCTTTTTAACTTTGTTGTACTAATCTGCACACATACATGAATGGAACTATTCAGGGACAAGCCTCATCCATAATAACTTGGGCTTTTCATGATAAGTGGCTGCTTCACCTCGTATCTAAATAAAATGCCTAGTAGTATGAGTGTATATTCAAAGGATGCGATGAACTGGACTTACATACTGTCTTAATAGGATATGTATAGCCCACAGATTTAAATAAAAGCTGTATGTTTAAATTGACATGATTAAAGACTTCCAGGCCAATTAGTGAAAATTAAATAGAAAAGGAAATAATGTAAATTATTTGTCCAGTTATAAAACCATGTTGTCTTCATTGTGAATAGATCCAAGTGAATTGTCCCACCCTAATACATTTCTGTTAAGCCGATTTAACATTTGTGTGCGCAAAGTCTTTGCCTTTATATGATGCCTCTGATGTGATAGAGGTGCTTTGCATTTGCTTGCCTGTTACTGTGCAATGGGGTAGCCTATGGATCTGAGTTTGCCTTCAGCACTAACTAGAAGTGGCCTTTTGATTTTCTGAACTCTCTTGTAAAGTGCTATTAAGTTTTGCTTGTCTTTTTCATAATATTAAAGGCGTTATTCTTAATGTATTATTAAGTGGTGTAAATTGACATCTTTATAAAAATGACAAGATATCAGTACTACTTCTGTTACAGAAATCTGGTCAAACCGATAGCTGTGCAGTCTAAAGAAAAAGAGGATCGTTATGTGGATACTTATAAGGTAATTTGGGTAACTTTTGCTTCTTGCCTTTTTCCTGTGTATAAATGATATGGAGGCTTTAATTTTTTAACATATATTAATGGGGGGTGGGGAAAAAAACCATAAATCCAGTATTTTGTGCCTGTGGAATTCTCATTTCTGGTATGCTATATTTCCTGGGAACTGTTATTTATAACATGCTTTGAACCTGTGTTTGTCTGTTCCTGTACCTAAAATCATAAATCAATTTAGTCTTTCCATGTGATGCCTGCTGAGGATGTTAAGTTGGTGTCTTCTAACATGGACATACATACCTTTAAAAATCCCTAAAGATTAGGAAGATAAATTATTGCTGTTTATTTGAAATTACTTCAGTGGAACTTGTGGTTTTATAACAGAAAAACTGTTTTCCCTCAAGTACTTTGTTATTTTAACGTGCCCTACTATGATTACAGTGCACTTTGATGTTGTGTGGGTTTCTTTGGTTTTTTTTGGTTTTTTTGCTCTTTAGAATGTTTCAAAGGCTGTAGGAAATAACATGCTGGGGAATGAAAGCACTTGCAGCTGGACCTTCAAACTTATGTCTATATCATCATGGTCTAGTGTATTATTTGCAAATACTGTTTTTTCTATTTACTATTGAAAAGCCTGTACAATGACTCTGCTGTGCTAGAAAACAAGAGGGGAGGGGGGGAGCAAAAGTAGCCAGTAACAGAAAACATGTAATTTAAATTGGCTTAAGACTTTAATACCTAACTGGATTGTAAAAGTGATCTCATCTCCAGACACTTAAAGTGTATTTGATTCTAAATAACTTTTATATGTTCCTCTAAAAGTTTTAAGTTTTATTGCTAAACAACTTAAGCAAGCTCTTATTTTTGTTACTGGAACACAGCCTAAGTAGGAGATTTGATTTTTTGGTTTTTTCCTATTACTTCTCTAGTATTTGGAAGAAGAGTACCGTAAAGGAGCACGAGAGGATGATCCAATGCCTCCTGTACAACCATATCACTATGGATCTCATTATTCCAACAGTGGAACTGTGCTTCATTTCCTAGTTAGACTGCCACCTTTTACTAAAATGTTTTTAGCCTATCAAGGTAAGGTTACTTTTGCATTTGCATTTCACATCTGGGCCTTGTCCCAGTGACCCGGGAATGCTATATGTTACTCTGTTTAGCACAGTTTATCAATTCCAAATAGCTGAGTTCAGTAAAACTAAATCTGGTATGCTTTCACAGTAGACCCATTCTGAAATTATCAAGCTACACCATAAAGCTGTACATTTCTTTACAGATCAAAGTTTTGACATCCCAGACAGAACTTTTCACTCTACCAATACAACCTGGCGACTCTCTTCATATGAATCAATGACTGACGTAAAGGAGCTTATCCCAGAATTTTTCTACCTTCCCGACTTTCTAGTTAACAGAGAAGGTATGCTAAGAGGATAACAAAACTATATACCCAAAACAGCTGTACGGTTGAGCCTAGGGGTTGAAACTGAGAATATTGATATCCCTTGGCTGAATGTCAGGTGGTAGATGTATGAGAGAAATCTGGCACGAATTTGCGGGATAAGCTAAAAAAGCTGTTATGTAGGACTTAAGGGCAGTTTTTTCATAGTTATGTCAGAGGTGCAAAGGAATTTCCTGTTGTCCAATTTTTTCCATTTGAATGAGTATGTATAGCTTGAATGTGTTTGGGGGGGACTTGTTAATGGTGCTGCTTCATTGATCAGCAGTCACTCACTGTGCTTAATGGCTAGCTTTCATAGAACCCTATAAAGACCTTTCTAAAGTTACTGTCAACTAAAATGCTGAAACACTTACTCCCATTTCTAGGTTTTGATTTTGGAGTACGTCAAAACGGTGACAGAGTTAACCATGTCAATCTTCCACCCTGGGCTCGTAATGATCCTCGTCTATTCATCTTAATTCATCGTCAGGCTTTGGAGTCTGACCATGTTTCCCAGACAATCTGTCATTGGATTGACTTGGTGTTTGGTTATAAGCAAAAAGGCAAGGCCTCTGTTCAGGCTATTAATGTCTTTCATCCTGCAGTAAGTATTTGTTAAGCAGTGTGTGTGTTCATTGTACTTAGTAACTTAATAGGGGAAAGCTCGGTCCGATTTGCTTGGCAAACATCCTGCATGAAGCAAGATTCCTTGCTCCTGAAGTGTTGAAGAAAAGGCTTTAAGCATTTCAGTGTGGAACTGATAAGATCCAGGGGCTGCTGTGAGGCTTAGTGAATTTGCGTTCAACTTTCTTGCGTTGAGATAGGCATGGACGATGATCAGGTATGGGGTTTAGAATTTCTGGGTAGTTGTTTGCAGTGGTATACAGGTGTTGTGTTTTTGTGTACTTGCTTCCATCTCATTCAAAAGAAGCCTTTCATTTAGGCAGATTGTGCTGCAGCTTGTGATACAATTAAAGTAGTTCAATTTGCCCTGAGCTCATTATTTTTTTTCTTCCCTTCATATACATCTTGTGTTTTGTCACTCTGATAATCACTTCCCCTCCAGTAAATTAACGGTAAAGACTTCCAGAGTTTCACTATTTCATTGTAACATGGATATCTCGGGCTGTATTCTTTAGCTTCAACCCTTACTATCACAAGGTTTGCTCAGCCAGGCAGTCCTGGTTTCAAATGCATTCTGACGTGTTCCATGTGTTTAGTGTTCATTCCATGGCTGGAAGAGCTAATAAAACAGTAGTACTTGACAGTGGTGGCTTTTTCTCTTCAAGGAGCTATCCAAATGCTTTCCTTCCTTCTCCTTTTTTTTGTGCTGAAGTATTGATTTAGTTATTACCTTAAATTTCAAATACTAAGTTTGTGTGACTGTGTTCATTCTTTTTTAAAGTGAAAAGTCAAGGCCTTTGTCAGTGTGACTGAGGACAAGTATGTGGTACACAATTAGAGAGACATGAAAGAGATAAGTAGAGAAAGGAAAGAATTTCCACTCTCCTGAAATATGAAGGTTCTTCCTCCCTCCCCACCCCAAACCAGAGGTTTAATATGTTAATTAAAAAGGTACAGAAAACAAACTTTTTCAATTTTTTGTTTATCATCAGCAACCCTTCTGATTTTGCACAGACTATTAAAGGTCTGCTGAGAAAACCTCTTTGACAGAAATTAGTTATGGAATACACGTAGGAGCAGCTCACATGATAAAGTGGTAGTTACTTCCAGAAAAGAAGTGGTGACAAGGTTACTGTTCTCAATGGCTCTTTAGTCAGCACAGCCATTGTGGGATGGCTTCTGATCAAAGTCTTAACCAAACAGCTGAATAATCTGCCTCTAAATTTCTGTGCCTGTGTTGAGAAATCTTTCCCAAAAAACAAACTGTACAAGCTTATTCTTGCCTCTCCCCTTTTTTTTTTTTCCTCCCCTCTCTAGACCTATTTTGGGATGGATGTTTCTGCTGTTGAGGATCCTGTTCAGAGAAGAGCCCTTGAAACAATGATAAAAACATATGGGCAAACACCTCGCCAGCTGTTCCACGCAGCACATGTTAACAGACCTGGATCCAGGCTTATCATGGAGGGAGAACTTCCTGCTGCCATGGGATTACTAGTGCAGTTTGCTTTCAGAGAAACCAGAGAACACACTAAAGAAATAATATATCCAGTATGTCATTTGGATTTGCAAGATTTAATTAACATTCATATGCTGTGACTATTGTACCCTTATGTTTACAGTTTTCTTCCTAAAACTGCAACTTACTACCCATATTCTAATGTAAAGAAAACAAAATCAGTAAAGTGATAGTGAAAACTCTTTTCATCCTTTTCATCCATTTGTGATATATTTTGTGTCAAATGAAGATAGATCTGAATTTATTTTGGTTATAGCAAATTGGGGTTCGAAAGCATTTCACTGAACCAGTTTTATACTTTCAGTGATGGATTCTGGAATCTGTGTGCAAACCTGTAGTAGGTAAACACATACTGTGCTTTTTTCCATCCTCAACTTTTCCGTTTTCTGTAGGACAGTTCAACTTTCTTCACTTCAAATGCTTGTTTTCCCTAAAGTCCAGTGAGAAACTGAATCCTTGCATTTAAAGGAATCAGTATTTTTCACTAAACTACCTGAACTACAAGCTTGCTATTGCAGCCCTTGAAGTGGGAGAACTGCCTTAAAGCTAATAGTTTAGCTGATGATACTACAGTGCTTTGTATTTGTCTTTCTAGTATTTTTATAGTACTTCAGCAGTCCTTACCATGTAATTGCTTATGGGAATGTGATATGAATGATTCTCCTTTACTAATGAAATAATATTTTTCTGAGAACTTTTTACCACCTTTTAATTTGAACCTTACTTGTGCTTGTTTTAGAGTCCCTTGCCATGGATAAAAGGCTTGAAGTGGGGAGAATACGTTGGTTCCCCAAGTGCTCCAGATCCTGTTGTCTGCTTTAGCCAGCCACATGGAGAAAGGTTTGGCGCTCTCCAGGCTTTGCCAACTAAAGCTATCTGTGGTTTGTCCCGCAAGTTTTGCCTTTTGATGATATATAGCAAGGAGCAAGGTATGAATTTGTGCTTATTCTCTACATGCATAATACATGCAAAAATGAGCTATAAAAGATTTAAATCTAATGCTACTATTTTTCTCCAGCAAAATTCCTGAATCTAGTCACTTTTGCCACAGATTGATTTTATAAATCCAGAAACAGCTTACACATGTGTAGTATCTTTCCTGGAGGGTGGATTTTACTTGTAATTTTAAAAAACCACATTAGAAGCATCCTGTAATGAAGTTGATATTTTTCATTGAGATGACTGAAGCATGAGGATTTAACTTTAGAACTTGCCAGCAGATTCAGTCCAAGAAGAATTGAAAAACAATGAAAAGGACATGTGGCAACGGAAAGGAGAATTAAAGGAATGGTTTTTAGAAGCAGAGAATGAGGAAAGTTATCAGTAAAAAGCAGAGGTGAAGGATCTTCTGCTTCCAGATACACTCCTCGGAGGGGTTCTTATTGATAATGTAAAAACAGGTTCTGATACTCTTCTTTTGTTTTCTTTGTAACATGTACTAGTGAAGGATTTTTAAAAATAAATGGCTTCACATTTAATCACCAAAAATAAGTAACGTTCTCCTTGAAGTTACAAACAATTGTTTCTCCAGCTGGGAAGTATTGTCAGCCTGTTCCCCTCTTTTCTACTTCCAATAGATGTGACATTTCTTCAAAAAAGCTTTGTCCAGGTTGCAAACTCTTTGGAGAACACTGAATGTTTACATAGTCTCTGAAGACTATGGTTGTTTATAGTACATTAGATTCAACCATAGCCTAACAGAAAATACCTTATTTTCTTACTTGGGGTTTTTATATTCTAGCTTGTGGTAGAACATGAACCTGACATTTTTATTGTTGACTATCAAAGCGATCTTTGGTTCCATATGTGACACAGTATTACTTGCCTTCCTTCAGGTGTGAGAAGCATGCACAGTACTGATATTCAGTGGTCAGCTATCCTGAGCTGGGGATATGCCGATAACATTTTACGACTGAAAAGCAAGCAAAGTGAACCTCCAGTAAACTTTATACAGAGTTCACAGTTCCATCAGGTAAAAAAAATCAGTCTCTTGGTCTTCAGTTTAATATTGCTTGTTTAAGTGGTGGCCTGACTTCACAGTAGGTACTCTTGCTTCTGTTTTTGCAAAGCCTATGGTAAATAACAAATCTTAATCTTGGAGACGAGCACCCAAACACAACTGTTCTTAATCTGTTTGATTCACCTTTGGAATGTATCCCTCATTGCTGCAGTGTGTCTTCCTCCTGGATGTGTTCCTGTACTAGGTAAAGATCCCTTTTGAATGCATTTGATTTTTGTAGATTTTTTTCTCCTGTGGAATATCGGTGTGGATCTATAAAAGCTTAAGTTCTGGGCCAAAAAAAAAGAATGCAGGAAGAAATTCTAGATGCCTCACATTAGAAGCAGAACTCTGCTATAGTATAGGACTCTTCTGAAAAAGTCTAAAAGGTTGTTAGGGGACACTGCAGAATCTCAGTTATGCTTTGATGGTTTGCGAGATTCTACTGAAAAGATTTTGGCTGATGATCTGTCTGTAGATCTAGAATTCTGCAGTACTATCTCTAGCTGTGAATTCTGGGCTACACAGAATTTCCTTCTTTACTGTAGTTCTGAAGTAATAGCAAATATGTCCTAGAACAGGTATGTTTTAATTCTTGGATTTCTCTAGCTTAGGTATTTTACACAGCTTTTCTTGGGATAAGCAATAAAGAATCAGTTTGACCAAATGCTGTGGCACAATGAAAATAGCAGTTAAAATAGTTTCTGTTCTAATTTTTTCTGGCTTTGTTTTTGTCTTTCTAAGGTGACAAGTTGTGCTTGGGTGCCAGACAGTTGTCAGCTGTTCACAGGTAGTAAATCTGGTGTCATCACAGCATACATGAACAGATTCACTAGCAATACGGTAAGTTCTATTGGACAGGATTTGTATTTAAGGATTTAGTTGTATTTGCTATTACAGTGATTTTTTTTTTTTAAACAGGAAAAGTGAGAAAAGGGGAATATGTTTTATTCAGAACAAATGCTAAAAATATCAAGTGCTTGTTTGGTATTTATTTTTGAGGGATCCTCTTTGACATTGTTAAATAGACTTGTCTCAGCACATTTGTTTGTGTTTTTCTTAAGCTGTTGTTCACACACTGCTAGCCTTTAGTCAGCCTTCATCATCTGGGTGCATAACTGATCACACATACAGCTCTGACTGCATTCAGGTTAGGGCCTGGAATTGAAGCTCTCAGACACAATGAAACTCCCTAAGGAGTAACTGTTTCTGTGAAGGAGACAGAGCCTTTCAAAGCCTTAGCTGAAACTGTGGAATGCATTTCCCCAAAGTAAACTTCAAATGCAGAAGGCAATTATACTACAGAGAGGTGGAATGAAATCTCTGGCAGTGTATATATTAACCACTAAGCCTCTTCACTTTGTCATATTCCTCAAGTGGAAAAGCTGTGAGGAGAGAAGGGAAAAAGTAACTTGCATTACTTAATCCATTATTGGAAGATACTGAGATATTAGTAGAAATTGCCCTGATACTATGTAGTAATAAGCATGGTATAAAAACACAAATAGAATTCAAAATTCATCTCCTGGTTCAGACTGAGTTTCTGAGCTTCTGTCTGCCTTTATCCAGCAGTAACTCCTCCTCATAGTTTTAGCAAAGAGTTTGACTTTCTTCACAGGTCATTTCAGGTGTGTCTACAGGATTACCCATAGCAACAACTAAACTGAACTGATTTCTCAAATTTAATTTGATAGATACAGGTATTGGCAAACACATTTGTAGTATTGTACTCTTGATGCTCTCGAATCAGTACATTAGCATGAGCTAGAGGGAATCTTGGTATGATCTGCTATGCCTACCCAGTTTCCTGTTCTCAACAGTGGCAAACAGCAGATGCTTAGGCTGAGAAGAGCCCAAACATAGAGTGATTTCTTCCTTTGGCTTTCTTCCAGTTTCTGGTGATCTGACAGTCAGACTTACTGAGCTCAGCAGCACTCTGAGTTTAAAAAATGAAGTAGAGCTTGAAGCCTGCAAGCTTCAATCAGTTGCATCTTAAGTCAGGCACTTTAACTGCTCACCAGAGTGGTAAGCTTGTAAATAACCTGTACTGAGACTTGGATCCCAGTTAAAATTTTGAGGTACTAAACTACAAATGCAATGTACTTGCCTTCTGCAATGCTAAAAAGAAACTCTAGTAGTGGGGTTATGATTTGTAAGTTCCCTGCATTTCCTAGAAACAAGTGATTTCTGTTCAGCTGAACAGATGTTGTCTGTGAGACCATCTTTGTTGAATTTCTCAGCACTGATGGTTTTACATGCCCCAGGCAGACTGACCTTGTGCCAATTTTGTAGCTCCTGTTGGTGAGTCAGTTACCCAAGCCAGGGCTGCAGGGAATGCAAATGTGCTTCCTAGCATCTGCTCCGTATGCATCTTGTCAGCTGCTCAGTGATAAAGTGAACAGTCTGTTCTAATGTAGTGCTTGAAACATGAATGTTTTGCCCTGTTTCACATTTATATAAATTCAGTGCATAGGCATAAAACAGATATCATGTTACGGGAATTCAAAGGCATGCTGTCAGAATTGAAAAATACTGCAGTGTTGTACTTCAGATGGTCTATTTTTCCTAGCCTTTAAGATGGTCAAAAAAAACTAATAAAGTACTGCTCTGAAACTGTGATCTATCTAAGTAAGTCGTATCTTCATGAAAACCTCAGCCAGGGTTTTCTGGGTGTACAAGTTACTCCAGCCTTCACTTGCTGACTTAGAGTTGTCTTGCAAACAGAAGGAAAGCACTTTAATAATGCCTGAGTAAAACTGGGCAGTAAAAGTTTAAATTCTCCACTCAAGTGCTGTAGGCAATTGTTTCAGCTAACCAACAGAAAGAACTGCGATGTAATGGCAGATACCGCAGATACCTGCATGTTTTTCCACTTCTGGATACTGTTTTAGTGGTTGTCATCTAAAAGCAAGTGGGAAATAAAAAAGGCATTTTAGGCATGAGGTAATTATTTCATAAGTTGTTAGACCTTAATACAGTTGGTGCTAAAATTCTAGTTTGTCTTGCTACAATATTACAATATTATTACAATAACCTAGTGAAGAATCAATAAACCATTGCTATTAGCGCTATAGAGAGAAGCTGCTAAAGGTGAATCTTGCTTTCAGTTCAGGTGTTGAAATGCAGATCAACAGCAAAACTTAAAGGAGATACCAGGAGCACAATAAAAGGGTTATTAAAATCAGCTGTTCTTCAGAAAATGAAAAGTCTTCATTGTTGCTGTTACAGAAAAAATGAGTATAATTTTTTTCTCTAAACTGAGCAAGGATTAACGAAGGATCTGCACATGTGAGATGCCACACTGTTCTGAGAATGACAACTGGATACTTTAATAAGTGTGTCTTACTTGGATGAGATGCTCATTAGCAAGAGCAAAATAGCAGGTCTTCCTGTTGTCAAAAAGTGTATTGACTTTTGCAATATTGCATAGATTATATTGTCCCTTGTAGAAAATTGACATGTCTTTCTGCACTAAAAAGTGAGTTAAGCATCTGTATATTTTTATCTTCTCTGTTTCTACTTTCAAGCTTTTTGTAAACCCGCTGTATGTATCCTCCACTCTGACACAAATGCAGACAATGTGCTGTGACATGTGTGAGAAACAAGCAGAAAAATGTTCCTTTCTTTTACAAATATTATTCTAATCTCCACAGGAAGTTGTCTTAAAGCATTATTGTTCTGATTAAGAAGCTCCTTCAATTTAGCCATTTTTCAGGAAGTCTAAATCATTTCAAATTATATAACTTGAATAAGAAGTGTCATTTGGTGTTAAACTTGCTGTTTTAATTTTTATCTAGCATTTTCTATATTTAAACTTGACTTCCTGCATATTTTTCCAACTTGGTATCACTGAAGGACTTGGCACCAGCTTGAGGAATTCACAGTAATTTGCTGTACACAGAGTGATAACTGCTGAGCTGGGTTTTCCTTCTATGTTTCCAAGTGCTTCCTCTAGATGCTAAAATACTGAGGACTGTCATTTCGTTGTCATGTGGAGATAGCAGTCTTGCAGAAAAAAAATCAGCTGATTTCAGGGTGTGCAACTGAGACAAAGTACAATAGTTCTTCATTTCAATTCCTTGGACTACATCAAAATCTTTGTGTAGACTAAAGCATTGGAAGCAGAAAGTTGAACATCAATGATGTGTATGGTTATCACATAAAGCATTAAATCTAATAAATCATTAACAACATTGTTAAACAGATGACATTAAAAGCAATGGGAACCATTTTTTGAAATCTAAGAATTAAACTTGTAACTAGGCTTATCCTTTTCAGAAAAAGACATTAATTTTTTTTTGTGAGAGTTCATGTTTCATTTTGCTGTTTTTCAGCCTTCAGAGATAGAAATGGAGTCTCAAGTCCACCTGTATGGTCACACAGCAGAAATAACAAGCTTGTTTGTGTGCAAACCATACAGTATAATGATAAGCGTCAGCAAAGATGGAACCTGCATCATATGGGATTTGAACAGGTACAGGTATATATATGACTTTTTCCAATGGCTGTCTTTAATACTTTCCAACTTTTGGGTATCATCTTTACCCTTCTTTACCCTTTTAAAGTTAACTGAATTTGTTCCATGTATATCTTAATGTGAAGTCAAACACTTACTGTTTTTCCTATGAAGGGTGCTGGAATTTGAGAATGAATATAAAAAATACCATCATCATGCAAAATGTTGATTGAAATTAATAAAACTCTTAAATATTTTCCTCAAAGAACCTTTTCTGTGTTTGAGTCTGAACTTGAAGATTGTTCTCTTTTTTTTTTTTCTTCAGGCTGTGCTATGTCCAGAGTCTGGCTGGACACAAGAGTCCTGTGACTGCAGTTTCAGCTAGCGAAACAACTGGTGATATTGCAACAGTCTGTGATTCAGGTATATTTGGCAGTCGGGAAAGCTGTTTTGACTTGCAGACCAAATAAATCATGAGACTTGCTATTATAGTAGTTACTGAGTGTGTGTTAATCATCTGAGGATGCATTTAGTCAAATAGGAATGCTCTTTTTTCCCCTCTACATTATAACATAAATTTCTCCAGAAATTATTAGGCAGGTGTTTGAGTAAAATGTAGAGGTATAAAAGCTAACAGCTTGATCTCTTTTTATAAAGACTTGACATTTCAGCAGATTCCTGGGAAACGTAAATTCTGTCAAGTTGGTTGCTTTTTTTTTTAACAGGAGTTGTTGTCAAAGGTACAGTTATTCAGGGGAGTATTTGGGAGAACAATGTATTGAAAGCAACAGAATTTTTGTTATTCACTCCATTTTAAATGCTTCAATATCCCCAGAAGCAAACATAGATTTGCTTAGCTATTCACTAGTTTAAAGCAAAGAGGAATAACAGCAATACTAAAGCAGAAATAGTAGATATTTGTATTAAGGGTCCTGCAGAGAGAAATAATCCTCCTCCATCTTATTTTAAAGCAGGTTTTTGTACTATCCTGTTTTCTACATCGTACTGTTTCTGGACTCAAAGACCTACTTGAGCAGTGGGTCTTTGAGTATTTCATACATCAGGATGCTCATTGTCTTGAATATTGAGTGGGTGTTGGTAAAGCAGGGCCAAGTCAGAGTCCTCACACCATTTTGCTGTCTCTAAGGATACCTGTGTATTGTATTAAATTGAGACGAGGCGGGGAATAGGCTCCATCTAAATGACATAATATTGTTCCATTGATTAAGAGAAGTACATAATAAGGAGGAAGAGAGCTTAACTTTGTTTATCCATGTTGTTAGAAGACAGTTATTGACTCAATTCTTGCTTTGTTTGGGCCAATTTTCTTTCTCTTTTGCTTTGAGTAAGATAGGTCTTAAATTGCGAAGTATCTTTTAGCCACCTTTTCTTACTGTAGTGCTCCATAAACTGAACTGAAACTAATACTGTTCCAAGTCTGAAAAGAAAAAAAAAGGAGGGGGGCAAAATAGCACAGCCTATAGTATTGAAAGACAAGGGGAAATTATTCTGGCAGTTTCAGAAACCTAATATTTAGGTTTTAAATTGACATGGAGACTTTCAACTCCATTTCTATAGCTCACAAACCTTTTTTTTTTCTGGGAAAGATTGTATTCTTTAATTGGTAAGGGACATAAGTTTCAGTCCCTTTTAAAGCAAAGCAGTAGCTGCTTATTAGTTCTTTGATAGAATCAAACAATCCCAGATAACCAGGTAAAAGTTGCAAGCACAATTATCTTACGTATTTTGTTTAAAATGCAAGCCAGTGTAGAAGAACTAGCTGTTTAAAGCAGGTAGTATGAATTCCTTCTTAGTGCTTCCCTGTTAGTACACAAAAATTGGTCATTAGGGGTAAATTCATACAGCATTTTCTAAGTACAGTGTTCCAAAAATATGAAGTGATGTCTTCTAAATCACTGCAGTGACTTGGTGGTTTGCATGTTCCCTGTCACAAGAGGAGGGAAGAGTTAATTGGTTACTGCAGCACGCATCACTCAGTCATTTAAACCTTCTGATCTTTCAGGAAGTTGAATTCTTTAACACTTAAAGGTTCTGTTGCATAGATCTAGCTGTAGTTTAGGTTTATTTTTTTAATACTGACGTGCTATGTTCTGTTACAGTTGGAGGGGGTAGTGATTTGAGACTCTGGACAGTTAATGGTGATCTCGTGGGACATGTACACTGCAGGGAAAGTATTTGCTCTGTTGCTTTCTCTAACCAGCCAGAAGGAGTGTCTGTCAACGTGATTGCAGGGGGGCTTGAAAATGGAGTTGTAAGGTAAGCATTTGAAATGTTTATTTATTAAAACACTTTATAACTTAACCTCACAGTTTGAGAGCATGTAGCCAAACATCATGCTGATATTTGGCTTTAAAGAAGGTGGACAAGATGTTCAGTTTCCAGTCTTAGTAGTTGCTAAACAGGTTGTTTATCACTGAAATATGTGTAAAATTAAATGTGAAGAAAATTACTCTTTCTTTCAGACTGTGGAGTACGTGGGACTTGAAGCCAGTACGAGAAATAACATTTTCAAAGTCAGCCAAACCTATTGTAAGGTAAAAAGATCTTAAGTATACAATTTTTTTTTCTTGGGGGGGAGGCGCAGGCAACAGGGATGACGATGACAATGATGACACAGATGACAGGACAACAACAACAAAAAAACACCAACCAAAAAACCCAGAACAAAATAGCCTTGAGTATTGAACATGGATTTGACATGAGAACAGGAGGTAAACACCCATGTCTAAAAAGAGCAATGCAATCCTGCTAATTATTTGTGGAAGCAAAATGAGCACAAGTGTATTGTATTTGTAATGACAGTAATAACTAGGTTCTGCTGCTGGCAGACAGAAATTAGGATTCCCTTGGGAACTGAACAGTAGCTACTCTTCTTAAGTTTAATATTTTTCACTGGAACCTGTGTAAAAATCATAACATAATATTAACTTTGCCAGACTCAAATAGACAGTTTTTTTCCTCCCTCAAAGAAATGAAAACACTGTGTTTTTCCTGACTTTTTTCTGGTGCTGGAGGGAAATTGTGGAGAAGTGAAGGAAACCCAGAAGAGCCTGGAAGCTGCCATTTTGGAGTGCTTGTGTAATTTTGAGTCCCCTTGATTTATATAAGCAGAATTATTCTCCTGCCAAACTGTTTTCAGAACATAGTCAAAGGATCAAGTCTTTGATATCCCCAGTGGTACAGTACCATGCATAAAGGTCTTAGAGTTATGCCAAAATTTTATCATCTTAATGTTAGCATAGTAACAAATCACTCTCAAAAAATTTTGTTTTCATCATTGCTGAAATATGATTTAAAACCCAAACCACTAATCACCATTTTTTTTAGAAATAAAAAACATTGTCTGATAGCAGTTGTTATCTTTCTGTTGCCTCCTTGAAGAAGCATATTTCACAAAGCTGGTTGATAATGATTTAGTAGCTATTTAATAATTTAAAGTTTCCTGCTTAAATGAGACAGAAAATGGATGCTGACCTTCATGTTCTCTAACATTACCTGTGGCATGACTGAAGGGCTTTACTGCTGTTATAGCTTAAGAAATGCCCAGCTGAACAAATGTCCTATGCTGTGCTATGAAATCTGATGGATTTAGTTTCTGCCATTGTCAGCAAGCAAGTTCAGAGGGCACTGAGTTGTGTTGCTGAAAGCCTTCCTTTCAGAAGTAGAAGGGGCAGCCCAGGGAAAGA